ACTACTGGAGCTAAAACCACATCGCTTGGCAAGCGTTGATTACTTGTATTCATGCCCGCGGCCAAACCGGCGTTGAAGGGAATGGTTGGGTGGGTGGGTGGGTGGGTGGGTGGGGGGGGGTCGTCGCTGGGGTTCAACTGCGCGCTTCAACTGCCACGAACGACTTGCATTTTGCACAGCTCCCAAAAGGGCTTCACGACGCAGGAGAGACGTGGCCCTTGTGCAGTTGGCAGCCGGGTTTCGCCCCACAACATACACGGTGTGTCGACGGCGAGCGATGAGCTTTCAGCTGGTTCGTCTCCGGCAGTTATTCCAACGTACGCTCTGGATTCCCCCCCAAGCCTTGGCTCTTGCCAACCCATGCCTAATACTTTCCTGAATTGGAAAGTAAGCAAGATATGTCCCTCCAGGGAGGGAGGGAGGGAGGGAGAGAGAGAGAGAGCGCGCGCGAGAGAGAGAGAGAGAGAAGAGAGGACGCACGTTCCATTCCGTTCCAACGCTTTACAGTACATTGCGTGAAGCGCTTTGAGACGTCTCAACGGTTTGTTAAGGGGCTATATCAAATGCAAGGATTATTATTATTATTGTAATTTTATAGGACGAGACCTCGAGGGAAAAGGACTAACAATCTCAGTCTACCCGAATCGGTCAGGCAAGCGAGATGGCAAAATGGGTGTGCGCGTGTTTGTGTGTGTGTGTGTGTGTGTGTGTGTGTCTCTCGCTCTCTGCCAAAAAAGGAGCGAGATTAATAAATCAACCCACCGTTTGGTTAATGAAACACATTATAACCATCTCTCTCTCTCTCACTCTCTCTCTCGCTCTCTCGCTCTGTCTCTCTGTCCTCGGGAGATATTAAATTTCAGGCTTAGACAAGATGAAGAGACAAAGCCTTGCTGTGAGGTACAAGCTGTGGGAAGAAGCCCCCGTTGCCATCTCCACCTGCCTGCCTCTCACACACAGTTCGTTGCCAGGTGTGGAACCACAAATAGCTGAATGTTACAGCCTCCAATGACAAGCTATGCGGTTTCAGCGGGTTAGACTCCAGCAGTTACCCCCCTACCCCCTACCCCGCCCCTCCACGCACACTCTGTTGTCCCCCAAGCCTTGGCTCTTGCCAACCTAGTGCTTTCCGGAATGTAAGCAGGATGCGGTCCCTCCAGGGAGAGGGAGCGCACTCTAATCCAACAATCCCACGTGTAGGTGGGATGCACGGAATTCTCGGCTTGGTTCGGAGACTCTTAAGCAGCGGTGACGGGTTTCCACGCGTGTCAGGCACCCGCCCGGCTGACCAACAACAACAAAAAAGCTTCCTCGCTCCTCCCTCTCCCCTCAACTCTCCCTTCCCGCCTCCCTTAATAACCCTCCTCCCTCAAATCTCTCACCCCCACCCCCATCCCGTCCGCTATCCTTCCATCCTCCTCACCTATTGTGAACGTTTCGCCCGCACAATGCACAGTCACTCCGCTTGACAGCGTATCCCGTGAGGCGCTTTGCGACGCCTCGACGACCCGCTGAGGCGCGCAGTATCAAATGCAAGGATTATTTTCTTATTGTTATCCCCTCCGCTCTCCTCGCCCGATCTCCTCTCCTCCGCCCACCCATCCCGTACCTTGCTCGATCTCTCGCTCCCACCTACCACCCCACACCCTAAACCCTCCACTGGGGAGCCCTCGGCAATCAGTCGAAGGATAAATCTCACATAAACCTGTGGTGGTGACAGAGACCAGAGAGAGAGAGTGAGAGACGCTGTGAGAGAAGGCAAGAGTGATACCCAGATTGTTGGTTTTGTGCTGCTTTGTTGTGTGTCAACCGTTCATTTCCATCACCAAGTGAGACAAAGAGAAGCTTTTTGTTTCTTTCAGAATCGAGATTAAAAACCTTCCCGGGAACAAAGGGTGAGTTTCGACAACTCCCTGACACCAGTGGGCTCTGGCCGGGGTGGGTGGGGGGTGGGGGGGGGGGGGTGGGGGGGTGGGGGTGGGGGGGATGGTGGGGAGCAATTGACATGTCAGTGGCATGGCTCCTGTTTGGAGAATGCAGAGAGAGAGGGGGTGGGGAGAGGGAGGAGGAGGAGAGAAGGGGGAGGGAGGAAGGAGCGAGAGGGGGATGGGAGAGAGAGTGGGTGGGGGGGGGGGGGCGCGCGGAGAGAGCGGGTGGGGGGGGAGAGGAGGTGTGTGTGGTGGTGGTTGGGGTGGGAGGGGGGGGGGGTGGGGGTAAGAGTGCCAGCTGCAGCCCATGCTCCTCCGAGCGCTGAAGACAATGTCTCCCCAGGGGGAATATTTCACAGCCAGCTCCTGTCTCCAGAAATAGCAGCTCCACTTCAGAGCGTGCGAGCCATGTCACTTTCCATTACCATCGCCTGCCTGTCCACATCCCTCCGACACAGGCCAGGCCGGTGAGAGCTCAGCCTGGCTGCTGCGTCTGACGTCTCAGTAACAGGTTCAAGTGTCTGGTCACAGCTCACAGTCAAGATAATGTTATTCGAACGGATTCGAGCCCCCCCCACCCACCCCCACCCCTCCTTCTCCCTTCTCCCTCTTCCCACCCCCACCCCATCCCACCCACCACGCAATATATTGCCCAATATATATCATAATCCCTGCGCTTGTTATCGCACCTTATCACACGTCAGGAGGGCGTCTCGAAGCACTTCGCAGGAACGCGCTGGAAAGTGCGGTGACTGCGTAAATGCGTTGGCCACGACGGCGCCAGCCAAACCGGGGCGCGGCGATTTATCCCACCAACAGCCCCGAAGTCAAGGGCCGGGTTTTATCTGGGGGAATTGTCAGCCGCGTCTCAAAACACGCGGTCGCTTCGCTCGGCGGCGCACCCCGTGAAGCGCTTCCGAGACGTCCCGAAGACGTGAAGCGGCGTTGTGTCAAATGCGAGGTTTATTATCCTTCCTCTTGTTCCGCTTGTTGTTACGTCACCGGGAAGAAGAGAGCTGTCTGGGTGGACGTTCAAGATCCGAAAGTGAGTTTCTCCCCAGGTTCCCGACCGACAATCCCTCGGCGCTGTACCGTTGAGTGCAAGGCCTGTTTCCCCCCCCCCACCCCCCCCCCCCCCCCCCCCCCCCCCCCCCCCCCCCCACCCCCACCGCCGGCCCAAATGGCCACCACACTCAGGAGCAATTACCGTAAAGCGCTTGGAGCCATTTCAAAGTGCTAAGTAGCTATAAAAACACAAGTTCCTTCTTTCGTGTCTGTTCTTTCTCCAGCTGTCAGCCGACTGGGAGCCCGGTTTCGAGTCTATCGGTATCGGCGGCTCTCGACAACCAACAGAATGCAGGGAATGCGCCTGCTATCTCTGACGGGGGGAGAGGGTTAAACCTCTCCCACGAGTGTTTTGGAGAACGGCTGCTCACTGTCAGGAGACGAGCAAGTGAAGAATAGTCCGATTCCGCACAACCCAACATTCCATTCGGCTGAGATAAAGCTTTGAAAGCCGCCGCCATAATTGCTACCCAAAGATTCTGCTCCTCTCGTGGGTTTTTTTTTTTTTTTTTTAGCCCCCAGAACAAATTAGAGGGTATAAATTAGTTGCATCGGACTTGATGTGGCGCCTTGTCATGTCATCGCAATGTTTTGGAGCAGGATTTTATCTGGTTGTGTGCAACAAGGGGGGTGGGGGTGGGGGGGGTGGGGTGGGTGGGGGGGGAAGGAGGGAGATTGCCGGGAAAGAGAGAAACTGCTCTTCTCTTTCCGAATTGCGGCGTTGAGATCGTTAATGTCCGCCTGAACAGGGCCAGATATTCAGAAGGATGAGAATCAGGATGGGACCACACCCCCCCCCCACCCCTCTCCCAACCTGCCCGCCCCACCGTCGGGCAGTCGGACCTTCAGCCTCTCTGCCCCCCCCCCCCCATCCTTTGGTGCTCCATCCTACAGTCCCTCCGCCTCGCTCCCTCCCTCGCCTCCTTCAGGGGCCCGTCTCAAGATCCTCCTCTTCGACCGCGCCTCCTTGCCCAGGAATAATATTGTAATAACATAACCGTAATAATAATCACTACTAATATTAATGACTAATAGTAATATTAATAATAATCCTCGCATTTGATACAGCGCCTCATCACGTCTTCGAGACGTCTCAAAGCGCTTCACGGGATACACTGCAAAGTGGAGTGACTGTGTATTTTGTGGGCGAAACGCGGCAGCCGACTGAGCACAGCAGCGTCGCCCACACACACAGGCGTGGATTATTAACTCATAATTCTAACAATGACCAATTGTAATCATGATTCACGATTAATTCATCAATAATGACAAAAGCCCCCGTGGCTCAGTGGTTGGAGCACTCGCCTCGCCAGCGAGAGACCCGGGTTCGATTCCCGGCGGGTCAGGTCAGGGCGAAACCCTTGGGCAAGATTCCTTACTCCGCACACTCGCCTGATAATCATCCCTCAAGAAAAAAAAAACAATAATAAATTGGTCATATTGAATCCACGACTGTTTGTGTTTGTGTTTGTGTGGGGGACGCTGCCGCGCGCAATTGGCCGCCGTGTTTCGCCCACGAATATACAGTCAATCCCGTGAAGCGCTTTGAGACGTCTGGAGGACGTGATGAGGCACTGTATCAAATGCGAGGATTATTATTGTTACTATATATGTATAGTATATACAATATATATGTAATATATATGGTATATAGTTATTATATATATGATACATATATGTACAAAATATACTATACAAAGTATATACTATACTACACATAGCAGTACATATATACTACTATATACAGTTATATATAGGAATAATATATAGTTATATATATACTATATATAACTAATAACTTCTCTTAGTTATTATATGACTAACAATAACAAAAACTCGCCCAACTGGGCGTGAAAACCGCCCAATTGGGCGTGAAAACCGCCCGCGCCCGCCCGCCTCCGCCTCCGAGCGCCAGGGCGTCGGGCGCCACCTGCCGGTCGGCGATCGGGAACTGCAGCCGCCGGAAAGAGCCGAAGCGGCTCGGGAAGGGGGGGCGGGGTCAGGGGGAGGGAGGGGAAAGGTCAGAGGGCGGCGGCAAGATGGCGGCGCTGGGCCTGTGGTGAAGCTGCTGCTGGGAGAGGGGCTGCAGAGGGGCCGCGGGGGGTTGGGGGCTGTACGCACAGCGCCGCCGCCGCCGGGATGGCGGAGGCCGCCGGGGAGGAGCTCCGGAAGCTCGAGTATCTGTCCCTGGTGTCCAAGGTCTGCACTGAGCTGGACAACCATCTGGGCATCAATGACAAGGACCTGGGTATGTGAGGGGGGGGAGGGGAAGGGGGAGAGGGGGGGAGAGGGAGGGGGAGAGAGAGAGGGGAGAGGGGAGGGGGGAGAGAGAGGGGGGGAGAGGGAGTGAGAGGGGGGGAGAGTGAGGGAGAGGGGAAGGTGGCAGAGAGAGGGGAAGGGAGAGAGAGGGGGAAGGAGAGAGAGGGGGGAAGGGGGGGAGTGAGAGGGGGAAGGGAGAGAGAGAGAGAGAGGGGGGGGAGGGAGAGAGAGGGGGAGAGGGGGAGGGAAGGGGGGAGAGAGAGAGGGGGAGAGAGAGAGGAAGGGGGAGAGAGAGAAGAGGGGGGGAAGGGGGGGGAGAGAGAGAGAGGGCGGTAGAGAGAAAGGAGAGGGGAGAGAGGGAGAGGGGAGGTGGGGGAAGAAGGGGGGAGGGAAGGGAGAGAGAGAGGGGAGGGGGAGAGAGAAGGGGATGGGGGGAAAGTGTGAGTGGTAGAGACAGTGTGTGTGAGAGAGTTTGGGGGAGAGAGAGAGAGACTGTGAGAGGGGGAGAGAGAGAGAGTGTGAGGGGGGGAAGAGGGGGGGAGTGTGTGTGAGAGAGAGAGAGGGGGTGCGGGGGTGTGCGAGGGGGGCAAGAGTGAGTTTGAAAGAATGAGAGAGTGAGTGACTGAGAGTGAGAGTGTGAGAGAGAGACTGAGAGAGAGTGAGAGAGAGACTGAGAGTGAGAGAGTGTGAGAGTGGAGAGAGAGTGAGAGTGACTGAGAGTGAGAGAGAGAGAGAGTGAGAGTGGAGAGAGAGACTGAGAGAGAGTGAGAGAGAGACTGAGAGAGAGTGAGAGAGTGTGAGAGTGGAGAGAGAGAGAGTGAGTTTGAAAGAATGAGAGAGTGAGTGACTGAGAGTGAGAGAGTGACTGAGAGTGAGAGAGAGTGAGAGTGGAGAGAGACTGAGAGAGAGTGAGAGAGTGACTGAGTGAGAGAGAGTGAGAGTGGAGAGAGACTGAGTGAGAGTGAGAGAGAGACTGAGTGAGAGTGAGAGTGGAGAGAGAGTGAGAGTGGAGAGAGACTGAGAGAGAGTGAGAGTGGAGAGAGACTGGAGAGTGAGTGAGAGAGAAGTTTTAACGTGGAAGGAGTTGTGCGCAGGGCGCCAGGAGTAACAAAGCTGCCTTGTTTCTCTCCGTTCCCAGCGGAGTTCATCATCAGTCTCGCGGAGAAGCACAACACGTTCGAGACTTTCAAGCGGATGCTCCTGAAAAATGGGGCCGAGTTTACGGTGAGGGTGGCCGGCGCTGGTCTGGGGTCTGGTCTCCCGTTCCCTTACCCTCGGGGGGGGGGGGCCTTGTGATCTTTCGCGCCATCGAGATCTCGTAGACGCTCGCCCCTCAGCGAGCGCGGTCACTACGCTTCGCACCGTGTAAAGTGCCTGGGGACGTCCTCCCGGCGCGAAAGGCGCTGTACCGAATGCGAGCGTTCTCCCTTCCTGCACGAGCGCGAGTCAACTCCCACGGAATCGTAACCGTCACTACGCATTAGAGAGTGTCGGGTGAAGTGCTTCGGGACATCCTCCCGAAGTGAAAGGGCGCTGTTTCGAATGTTAAAGGCTGTTCTAGTTGCCGTCGCTCATCTCTGCGCCCTTCGCCAACGCGACTTAATCGCTCGCTGTTTGTTCCAGGATTCGCTCATCAGCAATTTGTTGCGTCTGATACAGACCATGAGGCCACCTCCCAAGCCCTTGACGTCCAGCAAAGGTAAACGGCGGTCGACGTGCTGCTTATAACTGCAAGCCTTCTTCCCCCGCCTTTCCGCGCCGGGCCAATCCTGACTCGTGTTTTTTTTTTCTCCTCTGTGTTCCAAGCTGCTGAAACCACCAAACCGAAGTCGGAAAAGGAAAAGATGAAGGAGCTTTTCCCGGTGCTCTGTATGCCCGACAACCCCACGATCAAGGTAGGTTGTGGATTTTTTGTATGTGTTTACACACGCACCCACACACTTAATCCACGACTGTGTGGGACACTGCCGTGCGCAATTGGCTGCCGCGTTTCGCCCACAAAACACACAGTTAATTCACTTTACGGTATATTCCGTGAAGCGCTTTGCGACGTCCAGAAGACGTGATGAGGAGCTGTATCAACTGCAAGGATTGTTATTGTTATTACTAATCGTTGATTGCGTCGCTCCTTGTGGGACGTTGCTGTGCGTAAGTTGGCTGCCGCGTTCGCCTGCAAGTTGCGCTTTACAATAAATGGTGTGCAGCGCTTCGAGACGTCCTCCCCTTTGCGCCCGCCTGTACGTCAGGTCCGAACGGGCCTCGGTTTGGCTTTGGCTGCGAAACCTTCGTGGGGTCCGCAAACACGCTGCCGACGCTCAACTTGCGAAGGCTCGGGCACGCGTGCGGATGTGGTTAAGGCGCAGGTGGGCGTCTGTGCGCGCACCGGTACACCAACAGCAGGGAGAGAGGAGTCAAAAGACCTTCAAGGGAGGAGGGAAGAAAAATAGACGTGAAAACTGGACAGAGCAGTCTCTTGTACACGGGGTGAGGCGTCTCGGAGCGCTTGTAAAGCGGTTGAGCCTGACGCCGAGCCAGGAGGAGGGAGGAGGTGACCGTAAGCAAGGTCGAATTAGAGCGTGAGTCTCTGGTGCCTGCCCCGGGGAAGGCGTTTATATAAATACAATTTGTTGTTGTTGTACCTCGTACAATTTATTCATTGTTGTGTTTAAGCCCTGAAAACCCCACAGCCAATTCACTTTACGGTGCATCCTGTGAAGCGCTTCGAGAACGTCTCCACAACGTGATGAGGATTGATTTCAAGATCCTCATCCTCACCTACAAGGCCATTCACGGTCTTGCTCCCTCCTACCTCTCCAACCTATATCCCCCTACCTACCTGCCCGTACCCTCCGTTCCTCTGGCTCTGGTCTGCTCCACGTCTCCCGCCCCAATCACCCTACCATCGGTGGCCGGGCCTTCAGCCTCTCAGCCCCGAGGCTCTGGAACTCTATCCCCAGTGCCTTCGCCGTTCCTCCCTCTCCTCCTTCAAGCCGGTCTCAAACCTTTCTCTTGACCGTGACTTCAGCTCCCTCTCGACTCTCTTCCCCTCCTCGCTCCTCCCTTCCTCCCTCACCCTGACCATTTCCCCCCCAATGCTCGGGTCATGACCCAACTGTGCAGCGCCTTGGGACGTCCTCCTGACGTGAAAGGCGCTTTATAAATGGAATCTCGTTGTTGTTGTTGTTGAGGCGCCGTATCAAACACGAGAAGTATTATTATTATGATTATCAATTAAATCCGCTGTTTGTTTTGCAGACGCTGCTGGATCCAGATGATTTGAAAGTGGCAGCCGATGCCCTGAAGGAACTCGAGGCCCTGATGCCGTCGAAGGAAGACATTAGAAAGAGCAGCAAGCACAGGTGCGGAGCAACCCTTAGATACCTTTCCCATAGATGCAAACCCCAGAGGTTGCTGCGTGCAAATTGCCTGCCGCTTTTTCCTGCCAACGCGCAGTCACTTCGCTATTCGTGAAGCGTTTTGGAAAAGCCTCGATGCTAAATACAGCGGAGTGCGGTAGCTCAGTGGTTAGAGCACTCGCCTCGCAAGCGAGAGGAACTGGATTCGATTCCCGGGCCGGGGCGAAAAGTTGGGCAAGTTTCCTTACTCCGCGCGCCTCTGTTTACCAGCAGTGAGCAGGAACCCGGTTGTTAGTCGATTGGTGAATCACTTTTCCGAGGGTAATAATCCCTTAAAAAAAATTGTAATTTGGTCACTCCGCCCACGGCCGTGTGTGGGGGACGTCGCTGCGCGCAATCGACTGCCGCGTTTCGCCCACAAAAGATACAGTCAATTCACTTTTTTACAGTGTAACCTGTGAAGCGCTTTGAGACGTCTCGGAGACGCGGTAAGGCGCTGTCTCAAACGCCAGGGGCTATTAAGGATTATTATAATCGAAATACCTCTAAAGGCAGCAAGTGTTTTTCAGTGACTGTAGTCCCACATCTTGACCGGCTGTATCTGGAGGAGCTATTGTTTAATGTATTATAATCCTGACGCTTTAACAAGGCGCATGTAAGGCTGATACGCCTCAACCCACTTCACCGGTCCCTACTGGCGGTGTCTATTTCTGTAGGCAAATGTCGACCTGTCTGCGCGTACCCCCTGCAACCATGAGCGATTCATCTGGGAGATTTATTCATGCCAAGGACCCAGTTCTGATCTGATCGAGGTTATTTAAAATGATAAAGGGATTCGATAGGGTATCCACAGGGAAACTATTTTCTCTGGAGTGGGGGGGGGGGGAAATCCGGAACAAGGGGACATCATCTTAACATTAGAGTTAGGCCATTTAGGAGCGCAATTAGGAGGCAGTTTTTCACACACAAAAGGTAGTGGAAATCTGGAACTCTTACCCCAAAACTCTTACCCCTGAGGTGGATAGACACTTGTTAGGTCGGGGTGTCGAGCGATACGTGGCAGGGGCAGGTAATTGGAGTTGAGGTAACAATACTGACGATAATCCTTGCATTTCATACAGCGCCTTATCACGTCTTCGAGACGTCTCAAAGCGCTTCCCAGAATATCCTGCAAAGTGCATCAACTGCATTTTTGGGGGCGAGGTACAGATCAGTCATGAACACGTAGAGTGGCGGAACAGGCTCGAGGGGGGCTGAATGGCCTCCTGGGCCTAGGTTCCGAGTTCGGCGTCTGCCTCAGTCAGCACTCGTTGCGTTTTGAAATTGCTGTCATGTCCGTTCCCTCGCAGCTCGGTTGACAAAGGCAAGAGGAGGAAACGCAGCCGGAGTAGAGACCGAAAGCGTCGACGGCATTCCAGATCCCGATCACGTTCCCGGGACCGGACCAGGAGCAGAACCGGCAGGAGGTCCAGGAGCCGAAGTCGAAGCGGGAGCCGGAACAGAGACCACAAGGAGAGAGAGAGGGAAAGGGAGAGGGAGAGGGAGAGAGAGAGGGGCGTCCGCCTCGGGGGAGAGAAGGCCGGAGAGAAGTGGAAGGAACGTCACGTAGACAGACCCCCGCCAGAGGAGCCCTCGGTGGGCGACATCTACAACGGCAAAGTCACCAGCATCATGCAGTTCGGATGCTTTGTGCAGCTGGAAGGGCTCAGGTAGAGACTGACCGACAGTGGGCACTGTCGGGCGACCGTCTGAGAGACTGCAGCCTGTGTGTATCAGCTTCAGGGGAGGGTCTGAGGCTGAGACACACACGCCACACACACACACACCACACCACACGCATCACACACACCACACACACAGAGGCGTCTTTATCTGGGTGTCTTTTAAGTTTATCTGCGTAAAACCGTACAATCGCCTAAGTCGTACACCTGCCCATTCAGCCCCCTCGAGCCTGTTCCACCATTCTCTAAGATCGTGGCTGATCTGTTACCTCGTTACCTGCCTTTGCCCCCCCCCACCCAACCCCCCCACCCTTTAAAAACTGGTTTTAAAGCCATTTCAATAACACGTTGCCCGTGTTAGAAGCCCTGCTGTTAGAAGTCTCGACAAGCACTGCCCACGCACTTGAAGTTTTGTCGCATTGCATTGTCAGACCCCGTGAAGTGCTTTGAGACGGCCTCCTGTTGTGAGAGGCGCGATATCAACCGTAAGGCTTGTGCTGCGGGGCTGCAAAGTGCTGCCTCAGTTCCCTTTTAGGACTGTTTGTTCACCTCGTAAATCGCACTGTGTTCAATGTCGACGCGACCTTGTTCCGAGGTTGTTTTATCATCCTCCCTGTTCTCAGCAACCGGCTGCCGCTTTGCGCACCCCTCCCCCCCGCGCCTGGTCAATCGACTTTACGGTGTGTTCCGTGCATCGCTTCGAGACGTCTCGAAGACGCGACGAGGCGCTGTATCAAACGCGAGGGATCTATTCTTTATTGCTATTTCTTCTCCCAGGAAACGATGGGAGGGTTTGGTGCACATCTCCGAGCTCAGGAGAGAGGGACGTGTGGCCAACGTGGCGGATGTCGTTAGCAAAGGCCAGAGAGTGAAAGTCAAGGTGTTGTCTTTCACTGGATCCAAAACCAGCCTCAGTATGAAGGTAATTCCGAAAGGCTCGTGTGTTCCCGTCACTTGTAATGGAACCCCAGCGTATTGCCTTACCTCCACCCTTCCTGATCCCAAACCCCCCCCCCCCACCCACCCACCACCACCCCACAGCTCGGGTCCAAATCCCCGACTGTCCAGCGCCTTGGGAGAGTGAACTCTGCAAAACACACAGTCGCTGCACTTTACGGCGTATCCTGTGAAGCGCTTTGAGACGTGATATTGGCGCCGTATCAAATGCGAGGGGTATTGTCCTCCCTGACGTGAAAAGCGCTGTGTAAGTGCGACGTGTTGTTAATTCAGAGCCCGTTTACCGTCTCGCGGCGAGCCAGTGAAGTCCTGCCCCCTCGTTGTCCTGAATCTGACCTTCTTCTTTCTCTGGGGCGGGGGGTTAGGATGTGGATCAGGAAAGCGGAGAGGACCTGAATCCAAACCGCCGCAGGAACGTGGGGGGAGAGACGAGCGAGGAGACCACCATGAGGAACCCGGACAGACCCAGTAACCTGTCGCTGGTCAACACGCCCGAGGTGGAGGATGACATGCTGGAGCGCAAGCGACTGACAAAGATCTCGGACCCGGAGAAGTGGGAGATCAAACAGGTACCAGGAGCACTGCCTCCCCCGGTCCGGCCCTCCCGGCCCCAGCCCAGCCCTCCCGGTGGCTTCCGCGTGCGTGCGGGGGCTTCCGCGAGCGCGCACGGGGCCTTCCGTGTGCGCGTGCAGACTGCCGCGTGTGCGTGCGGATTACCGAGTGCGGACTACCGCGGGGGCTTCCGCGTGCGCTCGGGGGCTTCCACCGTGGGAGCAACGCAGCGGTGAAACGCACGCAGTGTTGGTTTTCTGCCGCCAGATGGCGCTGAGAGTCTCACTGGTGCTCTTGATGGCTCCCGTTCTCTGGCAACGCACTGACCGGCCTCGGGACCAACGCTTAGCCGGTTGACCTCTGGAGCTCGCTCTCACTTCTCTCGCTTGCGCTCGACCTTTCAGATGATCGCGGCGAACGTCATCTCCAAAGAGGAGTACCCTGACTTCGACGAAGAGACGGGGATTCTTCCCAAGGTGGATGACGAGGAAGGTAAGTCCTACTCCCGCGCATCTCTTCCCACGTCGGTGGCGACTGTGGGTCAGAGTGGTGTGTGTGTGTGTGTGTGTGTTCGAGCCCCTACCCCGGGACAGACTCTGAACCCGTCGTCCAGGCCTGCGGTTGAGTTTATCCGCTCTCTTACAGACGAGGACCTCGAGATCGAGCTGGTGGAAGAGGAGCCTCCGTTCCTCAGGGGCCACACCAAACAGAGCATGGACATGAGTCCTGTCAAAATAGTCAAGGTACGTAAAGCCTGAGAGATTCCAACCCCCTCACGCCCCTCTCTCTCTCTCTTGACAAATCTGTCAGAGCGGAGTAAAGGGAGCTATAGATTGCACTGTACCAGAGCTTCATACTGACACTCTTTTCCCCCCCTACACCCCCGTACCCCGCCCTCCCCCCCCCCCATATATACACCTTTCCGTGTGGACGCGCGTCAAGTATTTGTTTTGCCGATCACTTCTTGTAGGACTACTAAACTGTGTGAGTTCGCATTTTACCGTGTTAATCCAGACTTCGACGCTTCAACTCTGGGGCGAGTAAAGTGTGAGCCTCTGTGTAGGGGTGTGTGGGGGGGGTCTAGGGTGGGGCAGTTGTACGTGTGTGGGTGGTGGGGTGGGTGACAGAGTCTGTACCAGTGACAGGCAGGCGGGACGTTGGTAGGTGCGAGATTGGGTCTCGGTGCCAGCACAGCTTCCGACTGCCAAAAAAGCTACGGATGCCAAATTGGACGGTGGCGAGGGTTTTGCCAACCTTCACAGGGCGAGAAGCGCTAACGTTGTTGCTTTGTTTGGGTTAGAATCCCGACGGCTCCCTATCCCAGGCCGCCATGATGCAAAGTGCGTTGGCGAAGGAGAGGCGGGAGATGAAGCAGGCTCAGCGGGAGGCGGAAATGGACTCCATCCCCATGGGACTGAACAAGCACTGGGTCGATCCACTACCCGATGGTACGCTTAACAGTGTGCGCGTGAGGGGGTGCCACTGTGTGTGTTTGTCCATGATTATGTGCAGATTTGTGTGAGTGTGTGTGTGTGTGTCCGCGCGTGCATCGCTGTGTGTTTTTGTGCGCGTCTATGTGTGTGTGCGCATCACTGTATGTTTATCTGTGTGTACGCTTGCAGTTTGTGTGTGTGTGTTTTTCTTTGTATATGCTTGCAGGTGTGTACATTGTGTGTGCGCATGTGTGTTTTTGTGTGTATAAGCTTGCAGGTGTGTGTGTTTGTCTGTGTATAAGCTTGCAGGTGTGCGTCTGTGTGTGTTTGTGTATAATCTTGCAGGTGCGTGTGTGTTTGCGTATAAACTTGCAGGTGTGTGTGTGTGTGTATAAGCTTGCAGGTGTGCGTGTGTGTGTTTGTGTATAAGCTTGCTGTGTGTGTGTACGTTGTCGTGTGTGTCTGTGGGCCTCGATTATGAGTGTGTTTCGCTCCAAGTTGCGCCCAACCCCGAGTGATCGCGTGGCAGTTCCAATCCACCCCCCTGTCTTGCAGTTGACGGGCGACAGATTGCGGCCAACATGCGAGGCATCGGGATGATGCCCCAGGACATCCCCGAGTGGAAGAAGCACGCGTTCGGGGGGAACAAAGCCTCTTACGGACGCAAAACCCAGATGTCCATCCTGGAACAGAGAGAAAGCTTGCCCATCTACAGGCTGAAAGAGCAGCTGGTCCAGGTAACCGGATCGAAGCCGCTGATCTTTTTGGGGGTGGGTGGGGGATAATAATAACCCTTGCGTTTGATGGAGCGCCTTATCACGCCTTTGAGACGCCTCAAAGCGCTTCACAGGCTACGCTGTAAAGTGGGGTGGCTGCGTATGTTGCGGGCGAAACGCGGCTGCCAATCGCGTCCCCAGCAAACGTCCGCGGGTGGATGGCGTGACCAAATGCCAGCGATTGGAATGTTTCCTCTCTCTCACACACTCTCTCTCTCTCTCTCTCTCTCTCTCTCTCTTTGAACTCAGGCGGTTCACGACAACCAGGTGCTGATCGTGATCGGGGAGACGGGCTCCGGTAAAACCACGCAGATCACCCAGTACCTGGCGGAGGCCGGCTACACCACCCGGGGGAAGATTGGCTGCACGCAGCCCCGGCGTGTGGCTGCCATGTCCGTAGCCAAGCGTGTATCCGAGGAGTACGGCTGCTGCTTGGGGCAGGAGGTGAGGCTCGGGCTGTGTTACACAGGTTAAACCCCGGGATCGATCGCGTTTTGTCTCTCATTCGTCTCGTCTTCATTGATTTAGATTTAGGTCACAGGCGAGTGTTCAGCTCAAACCCACCACCACCACCACCCCGCCCCTCGCCCCTTTCCCCCGGTTTCAGTTTCCTCCTATAATAATAATAACGATAATTAATAATAATAACAACAATAATCACTCGCGTTTGATACGACGCCTTATCACGTCCTCAAGACGTCTCAACGGACTGTACGTAAAGCGCCCCGGGATGTCTTTCGGACGTGAAGGGCGCTGTTCAAGTATAAGTTGTTGTTTGTGGGTAGAAATAGACCACAGAGCTGTAAAGCCTCGCTGTCTCTCTAGGTTGGCTACACCATCCGATTCGAAGATTGCACCAGCCCCGAGACGGTGATCAAGTACATGACGGACGGGATGTTGCTACGAGAGTGTCTTATCGACCCCAACCTCTCGCAGTACGCCATCATCATGCTGGACGAGGCCCACGAGAGGACAATCCACACTGACGTCCTCTTCGGGCTGTTGAAGAAGGTAAAGATCGGTCTGTTGAAGCCGTTGAGCTGCCTTGCCACCCTCCCCACCCCCACCGCAACGTAAAGGCAAAGGTATTAGCTTTGTCGGATTCCCTTCTGCCTTGTGATCACGGCTTTTACTGGCCCAACACGAGTCCCAAACGTGGTTCTATCTCAAAAAGCCCTTCAACCTCGCTCCCAGTGACCCGGTTTGCAGCTGCGTGGATTGTCAGCCAAGACGTCGGGAGGGAAACTCCCTTCTCTTTTCCAGTCGAAAAAAGACTGGGGGTGGATAGAGATTTGATATTATTAAGTCCTCCTGACACGAAAGGCGCTGCACAAATGTGAGTTGTTGTTGAAGGGTCAGGATATAGAGGGATACGGGGAAAGGGCGGGTAACTGGAGTTGAGGTACAGGTCAGCCACGATCTTATAGAATGGCGGAACAGGCTCAAGGGCTGAATGGCCTCCTCCTGTTATTTATATATATATATATATATATACTGCGGGATCTGTAATGTCCGCCTGAACAGGAATTAACACAAGCCTTGGCCGTTGTCGTTTGCAGACCGTCAAGAAACGGCCCGATATGAAGTTGATCGTGACGTCAGCCACGCTGGACGCGGTCAAGTTCTCACAGTATTTCTACGAGGCTCCGATCTTCACCATCCCCGGGAGGACGTACCCGGTGGAGGTTCTTTACACGAAGGAACCCGAGACGGATTACCTGGACTCCAGTCTGATCACAGTCATGCAGATCCATCTCACAGAGCCACCGGGTATGGACGCTCGCAGGGGCGAGGAGTCCCTGTAGCTCGTATCGTAAGTCAGAGGACCCGGGTTCGATTCCCGGGCGGGCAGGGCGAAGCATTGAGCAAGTTTCCTTACTCCACACCCACACCTCTGGTTACCCAGCAATAAATAGGAACCCAGTTGTTAGTCGATTCGGCCCATTTGATCTCCGAACATCCACCTTCCTGTGCTCTCATTGTAGCTTCGAGCTATTATTGAATAATATATATATGTGTATACACACACACACACAAGTCCAATATCCTGGCCTCACCCAGCCTTGCTTGCTAACCTTCTCCAGCATTGCCCTCTACATTCCCTGATGTCTGTCCTAAACTTGTCCTTCACAACCTTGAAGCCCTCTGAGACGACTTGAAGACGTGACTACGTGCTATGTGAAATGCATATATGTGAAATATTCCTGTTATTGATCCTGTGCCCTCTTGTCCAGCTGCCTTGGCCTAAAGTATTGCCCTTATGATCCTAGTCAAGGCACCTTTACTTGACTTCTTGATGGGAACTAATCGGCTGCTCTACTTGGTAATATTGGGAGGTTACCGTCTGTGTCTCTCTCTCTCTCTCTCCTCATCGGACCTTTTGACAACGTAGAGAATCTCACGTTACGTCTCTCTGTTTAGGAGATATCCTGGTTTTCCTGACGGGTCAGGAGGAGATTGACACGGCGTGCGAGATCCTGTACGAGCGAATGAAGTCCATGGGGCCGGACGTGCCCGAGTTGATTATCCTGCCTGTGTACTCAGCCTTGCCGAGCGAGATGCAAACCAGAATATTCGACCCAGCGCCTCCCGGCAGCAGGAAGGTGAGACTTGAGCTCAGCGTGGGGTGAAATCAAATCAAGATCCTCACCCTTGTATTCAAGTCCCTGCACTCCTCTGCAACCCCCGACCTCTCTGACCTCCTCTCTCTTCAAAACAGTGCCCGTTGCCTTCGCTCCTCCGGATCTGGCCTCCTCCGAGTCCTCCGTTCCACCCTCGGCGGCCGTGCCTTCAGCCACTACGCCCCAAGGGCTCTGGAACTGCCTTCCTCACTCCCTTCATCTCACTCCCTCCCTTCCCATTTTCAGGTCTCTGCTGAAGACTTTCTTTTCGACCCCACCTTTGATCACCTGCCTCCCCGCCCCCGGCTCAGCCCTGGGATCCGTTACTGTAAAGCTCTCTGAGACGCTGTCCGGCGTGGAGGGCGCTATATGAATCCAAGTTGTTGTTGTTGTTCTAGGTTGTGATCGCCACCAACATTGCGGAAACCTCACTGACCATCGACGGCATTTACTATGTGGTGGACCCCGGGTTCGTCAAGCAGAAAGTCTACAACTCCAAAACCGGCATCGATCAACTAGTGGTCACTCCAATATCACAGGTATTTTACTTTTTATTCGGTGTAAAACCGATGCAAGTAATAAAAAAGAATTCATAATAATTGTAATAATAATCCTCGCGTTTGATACGGCGCCTTATCGCGTCTTCGAGACATCTCAAAGCGCTTCGCAGGACATACTGTAAAGTGTAGTGACTGTGCATACGCGGCAGCCGATTGTGGATGTCAAAGATCCCCGCGGTGCAACTCGAAAAGAAAAGGGAGTTTCTCTCTCCAGTGTCCCCCCCACCCCTCCGCCCCAAATTAAATTAATCATCGCTCCACGGCTGTTTGTGTACGCACAGTGGCTGCCGCGTTTTGCCCTCTTTACGGCACATCCTGCGAAGCGCTGTGGGCCGTCCAAACCAGGCGATAAAGCCCGGCGTCAAACGCGAGGCACGACCGTTGATCTGAACGCCGCCTTTTGTTTCCCCCCTCAGGCACAAGCCAAGCAGCGAGCCGGGCGCGCAGGCAGGACAGGGCCCGGCAAGTGCTACAGGCTGTACACCGAGCGAGCCTACAGAGACGAGATGCTCACCACTAATGTGCCCGAGATTCAGAGGACCAATCTGGCCAGCACCGTGCTGTCCCTTAAGGTAAATCCAAACCCACATCACTTCGCGGCTGGGTTGCGTGAGCTGCGTTAATCGGCGGCTTGGACGGTGGGTGTTGGAAGGTGCGTGACGTCTTCTTGTGCCTTCTCACTGTAGGCTATGGGCATCAATGACCTGCTATCGTTTGATTTCATGGACGCCCCTCCCATGGAGACGCTCATCACGGCCATGGAGCAGCTGTACACTCTGGGGGCGCTCGACGACGAGGGTTTGCTGACGAGGCTCGGACGCAGGGTAGGCGAAAGGAAGCCCGTCGGACCTTCGCCAGCCTGGAGCTGGTGACGACAATGATAATAATGATAATAATAATCATAGTCATAATAATCCTCGCGTTCGATACAGCGCCATATTGAGTATTCGAGACGCCTCAAAGCGCTTCGCGGTATATATTCTAAAGTGGAGTGACCGTGGGTTTTGTGGGGGTGACCCCTTTCAACAACCAGCCCAGCGGTTCGGTAATAATTGGTCAACAAATGAGGACTTCGCTCCACGAGCGAGGTCTAACTCGCGATGTTTCTCAGTGAGAAATCCGGTTAGAATTCCCGTCGTCCTGTGGCGGAAAATCCTCGTCGGCGTCAGAGGGGCAATGTAGGGAGTGGTACTCCTGGTTACGAGATGGGAGCCCTCCCTCCCACCTCATCCCCCCACCAGCCCCAACATTCCCCCCATCCTTTCCCAATTTCCCCCGCCCGCCCGTCTTTATCGAGCAATCCCACTTCTTAGCCATAACGTGCGTCAGGCTCTTGTTCGTGTCCTGTACGCCGCGTCAGATTTTTTTTTTTTTTTTGCTGATCTGGGCTCGGTTTCGTCGTGGAACTTTCCAGCCTAATAAACGGCAGCCGATTGCATTGTCAATACCCCAATCGGCGCTGCCCAGGAAGCCGTGGGAGTGAGTCACATCACCTCTCTCAATCAGGACCATCTATCAGTCGATGTGCGGGTCAAGTCGCGTAGCTATTAACAGATGGGGAGTGAGGATCCAGTTTGGTGGTGTTGCCAATGTCATTGCCATCGTAAAGAAAAAAAAACTCTTCCGCTCTCTGAGATCCGATGCGTCTGCGTTATCTGTCGCGGGCTCGACTTCGTCCAGCCTTTCGAGAGGGCGACGGCTCGCTTTTTTTTTTCTCACTTGATTCAAAGCGTTTTTCTCGGCGAGCTGAAGTGCGCGCTCGCTTGATGTTCCGAGTCGTGTTTTGTTTTAATTTAAAAAAGAGAGAGAAGATAAAACGTGAGACCTTGGCTTTGTACGTCGGTAGAATCTCTTTATCGTCGAGATGTCGTGTGTGTGTGTGTTTCTAACACGGAACAGCACACCCACCACATCGCTCTCTCATCACGTAGTTTTAATACTGCGGCCGGTCTCTTTTTTTTAAGTACTCTGAGATGTGAAGGGCGCTGTTTAAATTCAAGTTGTTCTTCTTTTATTACTAATGCTAATAATTATTATTACACTTGCATTTGATATTATAATAATAATAATCCTTGCATTTGATACAGCGCCTTATCGCGCCTTCGAGACGTCTCAAAGCGCTGCGCGGGATACGCTGCAAAGGGAATTGATCGTGTGTTTCGTGGGCGAAACGCGGCAGCCGATTGCGAACAGCAGCGTTCCGCGATTGAGCGACCAATTTACAATATTATTATAGCACCTTATCGCGTCGTCGAGACGCCTCAAGTCTTTTGTCTTGCGCCGTTGCAGTGTGTGTGAGTGTGCGCGCACGCACGCGTGCATTCGTTTATTGGGATCGCACTGTGCCTTGCAGATGGCGGAGTTTCCCCTGGAGCCGATGCTGTGTAAAATGCTGATCATGTCCGTGCACCTCGGCTGTAGCGAGGAAATGCTGACTATCGTTTCTATGCTGTCTGTACAGAACGTCTTCTATCGACCCAAGTAAGTCCAGGCGGTCCCAACAGGTCAGTCCGAATCTCCCGCTACCACTTCGGCTTGGCTCGGCCCGCTCCCCCTTGGACGGAGCCTGACGGGTTGTGAGCTCGAGACCCACCTCGTGGGGGAGGGGGAGGGTCTTTGAGCTCAACGTCTAGGCTGTCGCTCCAGTACAGTGCTGGGCGGGGTGGTCGGGGGCCGGAGGAGAGCTGCGTTGTCGGAGGTGCCGTCCTTCGAGGGAGACTTTAAACCTCCCTCCCGGTCTGTGCCCTGCTCGGGTGGGCGTCAAAGAAAAAGGGAACGGAGTTTCTCTCTCTATATATCTCTCCCTCCCGGTGTCCTGGCTTGACCCTCCTCCCAGATAAAACAGTTCCTTCGCTTGGCGGCTGTTTGCGGGGACGCGGCTGGGCGCAAATTCAGCTGCCGCCATTTGACCGACAAAGTACGCAGTCGCGGCGAATTCTGCGCGAGGCGCTGCGAGGATTCCCACGGCCCGCTACGGCGTTACCGCTGCGAGATAAGGCGCTACCCAGCGTGAAAGGTCGCTAAATAAATGCAACTTGCAGGATAAACAAGCCCTGGCCGATCAGAAGAAGGCCAAGTTCCACCAGGCGGAAGGCGACCACCTCACCTTGCTCGCCGTCTACAACTCGTGGAAGAACAACAAGTTCTCCAACCCCTGGTGCTACGAGAACTTCATCCAGGCTCGCTCCCTCCGTAGGGCTCAGGACATCCGCAAGCAGATGCTCGGGATCATGGACAGGTACCCCCCCACAAAAAAAAAACGAGCCGCCAGCCAGTGCCACATCAGACGCAAAGATTATTAATAATCATAATATATGTTGTGTTGTGAATGTTTTTGCTAAAGGCGGCTGGAAGTATTGTAGAGCATTTCCAGCACAGGGGGAGACTGGATGTGGGCTTGAATCCCAGTCCTTTGCTGGTTCCCTCAATTAGTCAGGGTGGGAGGGAGGGTGGGAGAGAGGGAGGGAGGGTTGCGGGGGGTGGGGGCGGGGAATAGCATTCAGCGGCAGTGGTTTCTACCAGACTCGCTTTCGGCAAGTGCTGTGGGGCTGTATTTGTTGTTGGTGGTGGTGAAACTGCTCACACACTCTCTCTCTCTCTCTCTCTCTCTCTCATGCTTTCTCTCTCTCTCTCGCTCTCTGTCCCGCCCGCTTTTTCAAGGCACAAACTGGACGTGGTGTCGTGCGGCAAAGCCACGGTGCGGGTCCAGAAAGCCATCTGCAGCGGCTTCTTCCGCAACGCGGCCAAGAAAGACCCCCAGGAGGGTTACCGGACCCTGATCGACCAACAGGTGGTGTACATCCACCCTTCCAGCGCCCTCTTCAACCGCCAGCCAGAATGGTAAGTGGCCCGGGCGGACCGGGCTCGCGCGCACAAGAGAGAGAGAGAGTATCGCTAGGCCGACGGAGCGCTCCGGAGACGCTACCCTCCGTGATATAAGAGAGCGCCACGTTGTTGTCGTCGTCTTGGTTGTTGTTGTTGTCGCGCTGATTGCTGGTGTTGTCGCCGGGTCCCTTTTCTTTTGTTTGTTTGTCTGTTTTACTGACGGATTCTTATCAGCCCAGAAGCAGCCACTTTTAGACCGCAGTAACTAAAATGGGACAATCTCCTCGCGAGCGAGAGAAGCCCAGGTTCGGTTCCCGGGGGGGGGGGGTCAGGGGGCGAATCCTTAGACAAGTTTCCTTACTACACACACGCGCGCCCACTCACTCACACGCCTCTGCCTACGTTAGCAGTTAACAGGAACCCGGTTGTTAGTCGATTGGCGGATCGCTTTTCCGAGTTTAATCACTTCTTCACCCTCGTAATTGTTTCTTTTCAAAGAGCCGGCGCAGACACGGTGGGCCGAATGGCCTCCTCCCGCGCCGTATAATTCTCCCGGTTCTGTGAATAATCCCTTCAATCCACGACTGTTTGTGGGGACGCTGCTGTGCGCAATTGGCTGCCCCGTTTTCGCCCACAAAATGCGCGGTCACTCCACTTTACAGTATATCCCGCCAAGCGCTTTGAGACGTCCCGAAGACGTGATTTAAGGCGCTGTAACAAAATGCAGGGATTATAATACCTTCACGATCGCATTTGAGAACACGGCCCTGGCTCAACAGAGAGTATGTACCTCTCTCTCTCTCTCTCTCTCTCGCTCCTCTCTCTCTCGAGCGCAAGCCTTTATTTCAAGTCCTTTCGGTTTACAAAGTGGGTGAAGGTTTAATTCTTTTCTGGCAGAATTGTACCTTGTCCTCCTCCCCCCCCCCCCCCCCCCCACCACCGTCTGGTTCCTGTGTGCGCTTGTACAGTGTTGGACGGCAGCCAGTTCTGAGGCCCCTCTGTTCAGCCTCCCGACTCCTGACTCGTCAATGAACCAGCCAAAGAGTTCTCTGCGGGCCTTTTGTTGTTCCAGCTCCCCCGCCCCCCCTCCCCCCGCCCACCCTCCCCCTGTCTCGCTTGGCCTGGCTCTCTACTAAGAGCCGTCGAGTTTCTGCACATGCTCTCAGCTACGCAAAGCTTCCATGTTGAGCGTTTGTTGGATCAAGGCAAGGAAGTATAAATCAGTCTTTCCCACTTCCACACATCACACCTGTGTTGTGCTGCGCTGCGCTCCCCGCAACACAGCCTCACGTCCAGAGGTATAAAGGATTGGCATCAGCTTCCCCCCTCTGGGGTAGAGGCTTATTTTTCCGTCTTGAACATCCATCTTGAAGCCTGTTCTGTGTCACGTCTTGCTCCGCCTCCCAGTCGAGTTGCACAAAATTATACTGAGACGTTCGGTCCAACTTGTCTGTGCAGGTGTTTATATTCCCCGTGAGCCCCTACTCCTCCTATATTCCCCTCTTCTACAGCCCTCTATTCCCTCTCCTGCCCTCCTCTATTCCCTCTCCTGCCCTCCTCTATTCCCCTCTCCTGCCCTCCTCTAAACCCTTTTCCTTCCTCGGCCAATTTGCAAACCCTGGGTAATCCTTCAGTTCTGCGCCCTCCTCTCCTCTGTAGCTTAGAAATGCCTTTGTTTAGTTGCAAAGACTCTCTCTCTTTCCTCTACAGTCCTATGACCGACACAATGTAATGTCGTCCTTGAAGTTTGTCCCCCTGGTTATGTTTGACTTGATTTTTTTTGGGAAGTTATTTCGGGAAAGTTTTTAAGACCACATCTGTTACATAAATCCTTCACTACGTAGGAGCTAAAGATGATTTAAGAGCGCAAGAGTGTGGGGGAAGTTTATCTGGTTTTATTCCTCGGTCTTGTGATGGGTTTTATGGTGGTGAAACGTGACCGTATGTCCCTGTGCCTCTTGGGCCTTCAACGTTTCTGCCCTCACCCTCTGGAACTCCATCCCAGAGCCCCCGGGTTTTGCCCCCTCCATTTCGCCCCCTTCCCTTACATCCTGCAAGACCTGTCTTAAGATCTTTTTGACCGTACCTACGGACACAACTCCTTCCCCATCTTCTTTGCCTTCCACCCGTCCCTGATCACCCCCTCCCCACCCCCCAGCTCGGGTACAAAGCCCCCATTGTCCAGCCAGGGCCTTGGGATGTCCTTCTGACCCCGAAGACGCTGTGCAAGTGTAATTTGTTGTTCGTTTTGTTGTTGACGGCGACAGGGTTGTGTATCACGAGCTGGTCCTGACCACCAAGGAGTACATGCGAGAGGTCACCACCATTGACCCCCGTTGGCTGGTGGAGTTCGCTCCGGCCTTCTTCAAGGTCTCCGACCCCACCAAGCTCAGCAAGCAGAAGAAGCAGCAGCGGCTGGAGCCTCTGTACAACCGCTACGAGGAGCCCAACGCCTGGAGAATCTCTCGCGCGTTCAGGCGCCGGTGAACAGCTGGCGACCGCTTCCGAGAGGACGAGAGAGAGAGAGTGGACGAGAGAGAGAGAGACACAGAGAGCGCTGTGCTCAGGAGAAACAGGACCCTTTGTTGCATCCCGAGAATTCCATTGAAATTCCTTCCTCTTTCCTCTTCCCCCTCCGTCTTCCTCCACACACACACACCCCCTCCCCCCGTCTCCTTTCCCAAACCAACCAACCGTTTTGGAGTCCTCCAATGTCAGTATATATTTTTAACGTATCAAAACGTTTGCTCCCTGATGATTCCCGACACTAGGAAACGGATTCCACCTCCCTCCCCCTGTCTTAATATTCACTGCCCGCTCAGGTGCTCGTCGAAAGATCCCACCAAGGCAGCGTTCGGAAAGACAAGGGAGTTGCTCCCGTTGTCCTAACCCAACGATCCTCCTCCACCACCCCCCTGGTTCACACGGGCGCACACATCTGTTACGTGGGAGACTCGAGGAACAGAGTAAACATGTTTTTAATGTGACGTTTGTAAAAACCTCAGCAAGTCAATTTGACGCATCTCATCAGTTCCGCTACGCTTGTTCGAGTTCATGTTGGCGGCGGATCTCTCTCCATCTACGTCAGGACTCTTAAACAGCTCTCACTCCCACCCCAGTACCTTCTGCCTTGTTTTATTTACCCCCCACCACACTTCCCTTGTGCTCGCTCCCCAACCCCCGCCCCCCACATATTGGCATGTGGATTAAACGTTTCGCTGTAAAACTCTTGACCCTTTTTCTTTCAAGTTGAATCAATTTGTTCACCAAACGGTGACGGTACGTCGGGAAGTGCCAATGGCACAGTTTTTAACATGGGTTTAAGGAGCTGCCGTTGGTCTTTCGTGTGTTTTTAACCTTTAAAAGGGAATCTCTACAAGCGCCGTCTTCCCTAAAAGAAGACGAAGCTGAAATGAACATAGTTTTACCGTACACTCCAAAGCCGTGCAAATGCAAGGATTCGAAAGACAGATGTGGTAACAGCTGGGAATGTGCGTGTGTGTGTGTGTGGTGGGGGTGGGGGTGGGGGGGGGTGAAACCCTCCTTGTTTTATCTGCAGCTCTTGTATTCGTTCAATGTTTCAATGTACACGAACACTGTAAAAATGTCACGGTCAATTTTATAGAAACATGGAGTTTAAACCCCCCCCCAGGAGCAAATAAACCGGCTGTATATCATGTCTGTCAGGAGTTTGTGTGCACGGGTGTTTTGTAGGGTGAACTGGTGCCTTGGGAACTTTTAACGCCCCTCTGTCTGAACACAGGCGCAACAAATTGGATCGACAGCAACAGCAACAAGTTGCATCTTACACACAGCCTTTCGTGTCAGAAAGACGTCCCAAAGTGCTGGACAGTCAACTGGGGTTGAATTCAGCGCCATCCTCCAGAGCAGAGTTCCCCTCGTTTCTGCGGTAAGAGCGTGGGCCAAGACTGCGATAAACAGTGCAGTTTAAGGGGGAAGTAATGTGTTATTGTCAGTGGTGTCCTTCAGACCAGATGTTAACTGTGGTCCCCACCTGCGTCCGGTCAGTTGGACGGCACCTCCCAACAACACAGCACCGCTGAAAGAGCCTGAGAGCGTGGGTTTGCGGGGGCTCAAACCCGCAGGTTCTCTTTTTAAGCTCTTGACGTCCGTCCGTACAGCGCATTCCCAGGTTAATCAGTGACACTATAATCCCTGCCACTTGATGCAGCGCCTTGTCTCGAAAGCCCTTCGCAGAATTGCCCCGCAAAAGCGAATTGTGCTGCGCGTTTGGTGTTTTGCTGCCCTGTGAAGATGTAATAGTTTGGCTTTGATCCACAGCTATCGCAGCAGTGTTTTCCTAACTTGCAGCAGTAAGCTTTCACCTCAGGATATGAAGTAATGGCACGGAGATAATTCTTTTCGATATTGATTTGGGCCCATCTCCACCGCGCCACTCAATCATCCTGAAAACGACGGCAGAGTCTCTTTAGTCCGGTCCCAAATTCCCGCTCCCGTCTGAATCGCTGAAGGACGTGATCCTCGGGAGAGAGAAAAAAATACTCGCGGATGCACAAATACCACATTAATGAGGAAGCATCGATCGATCCCAGTTAATCTTTAAATCGATCGAGTGTTCTTTATAATAATAATAATAATAATTCTTGAGTTTGATGGCAAGCTACGTGAGTTTAAACTCCCCCAACAGTTAAACCTTCTCCCCTTTCCTCCTGCAACACACACTCTGGAGACCCCCGCACCCCACCACCACAACCACCCACACACCCACCCACCCCACTAGACCGCACCCAAAACTTTCCGGGATTAGGTAAACAGCGTTTGCCCCTCCAGGGAAAGAGAGAGAGAGAGAGAGAGAGAATGCACGTTTCATTCCGGATACAGGGAAATTGCCACCTGTTGCCACACCCGTGCAGAATTCTGTCTTGCTCGGATATTCTTAATGGGGATACGTTTCCGCTCCCGCCCGGCTGACCAAATAAATAACAGTCCAACGCCTTTGAAGTCTCGTACCACTTCACAGGATTCATAGGCGAATGTGGGCAACCAAACTGCAAACAGCAAATGCCCCACTGGACAGACGTGAAGCGAATGACAACAACAATAATCCTCACGGTTGACACGGCGCCCGATCGCGTCTTCGAGACGTCTCAAAGCGCTTCGCGGGACGCGCTGTAAAAGTGCAGCGGCCGTATGTTTTGTGGGGCGAAACTTTGGCGCGGTGACTGTATGTTTTGTGGGGTGAAACTCTTGACCGTTTTGGACACGATGAAGCTCAGCGTCGATGGCAAAGGATCATTCCTATTTGGGATTTGCAGTTAGCGATGAGAACATGGAGTTCCCACTGGTGGCGCAAAACTGGCGCTCGACCTAACGGTGAAATAAAACGGGTGCAATCCCGCGAAGCGCCTTTCCGACGTCCTCCTGCTGGGAAAGGCCCTGTACGGAGCGGAAAAGCTATTCGATCGGGTGTCGGACGCTCTGGCTCTGTCCTTCAGGCCATTTCAGCTGTTGTGCCCCTCTCTCTCTCCCCCCCCTCCCCCGGCTCACTCTCTGGAAGCCCATCCATCCCGTCTCCCTCCTCCAGCCTCAAGCTACTAATTTTCCTTACATAATATAATATGTAATCTGATATAATTGTACACCCTCCTCTTCGACTGCGCCATCGGTCACCCTACTACGCCCCCCCCCCCTCCTCTCCCTCCCTGCCCTCCACCCACCTCCTGATCCCAACCCCCAGCTCGGGTTCCAGATCCCTGACCGTCCAGCACTTTGGGGGTAAGGGAGGGAGGGAGGGAGAGGGAGATGGGGGGGGGAAGGAGGTTGCACCTTTAAGAGACGAGCTCCTTCATGTCAGGACACGGTGCGGAGGAAATGGCATTTGCCTGGAGAATAATGAAGTGATGACAGATAGCTTATTTATCCAGCGATTCCCTTCAGACACAGGCCGGGGCTTTGTCTGAACTTATCCCGGCTGATTTACGAAGAAACATTTGACTGCAGCAACTAACGCATCATAAGTCTGCCATACGTATGATTTACGGGCAGCAAATACTTCCGGAACTGTTCCATTTCCAAAGTGCTCTGCCTCCCGCCAGTCGTCGCGAGCATCAAGTGAAGGCTCCGGGGTTACGATAATGATATTGCAGGCGGAGAATTAAGTTATGATAATAATAAATTCTCCCGACTTAATGGCTCCGGTCATCAGGCGCACGACGTGGGGATCGTGTTATTCGCGATACTGATCCTCGCGCTTAAGACACAGCGCCTGGTCGGGTCCTCGCGACGTCTCGAAGCGCTTCCCGGCGTCAAGTGGAGTGACTGCGTGTTTTGCGGGCGAAACGCAGCAGCCGAGTGCGCCCAGCGGCGTTCTCCCACGGTGATTAGGAGAACGTTGACCAGGACACTTGTCAGCGAGCCTTCTCTTTTGCAACAGCGACCCAGTTCTTTTAATGCCCACCCCCCCCCTCCCCCCCCCACCCCGAGCAGGACACATCCTCATCTGATGGACGGCACCTCCATCAGTGCAGCCCTCCCCAATGTGCGCTGGTGAGCAACTCACTCGAATACCTTGCCCGCGGCAGTGCCAAGACATCGTTTGACGGTGAGGGTCATTTGATCAGTTGGGGGGAGGGAGGGAAGGAGAGAGAAGAGGGGAGGAGGGTGTACGAGAATAGAGCCCCCAATACTCCTCTGGGACTCTACCCTGTGTGAGGGGAGCTACATGCAATGCAAGTCGTGGCTCATACCTAGTACCCCCCGTAGTGAGAAAGTCAGAGCGTTCCCTCTGTGACGCTGACTCAGATTGGTTCAGTGGGTGTATATATATATCTATATTTTATATAGATATATATATAATCCGCGTGTAGGTGGGAATGTACGGGATTCTCCGTGTGGTTCGGAATACACTTTGAACGCAGTGATGGGTTTCCGCACGTGTCAGACGCCCACTACCCAACGCAAACAAAATCCTCTCTCCGCACGTAGCTCTACACGATCGGCGCGAGAGAGAGATAAGGGGCGAGTACAGCTCTACCCAAACCTTTTGCGATCGGTCGGGCGTGTGAGGGTGGGTGTGTGTGAGCAAGTGTGCGTGCACACGTGTGAATGCACACCTGGAGTATACTCGTCGGAAATAATGAGTGGTGTGCGTGTTTGTAGGGCAACTTTGGCCCAGATGCCTATTGAAGATGGGTTTAGACTGTAATATATATACACGCGTGCGAGTGTGTGTGTGGATGTGTGTGTGTGTGTGTGTGCTCACTCGAGACTCAATGTATATACGGGCACGTGCGTAAGCGTGCGAGTGGGTGCGTAAAAGGGAGTGACTAAGAAACAAACACACGGAAAACCAAGAGAGTTGTAAAACCATATACACAGTGACTTTATAATCCCCACTTGAATTGATAATAGTTAAATCAGAAGCAACGACTAACAAGTTTCTAACCGCAGTGCAAACCCGGAGAGAGAGAGAGAGAGTGAGAGATTGAGAACGAGGGAGAGAGAGAGAGAGAGAGAGAGAGGGGGGGGGGGGGCGGGGGCCCAAACGTTGAGGCCTGCTCAAGCAACCACCTCCATTCAGCAACCAGCCCCCCTGTTAGCAACCACTCTGTGGGCTCCCCCCCCCCCGACCATACCCGCCCCCACCCACCCGCCCGCCCGCCCACCCCCATCCCTACATGAAGCCTTTGGTGTAGTGCTGGGAGCCGCCGCCGCCCCCGCCGCGACTGTGGTCTGGCCTGTAGGGGGCGCTCTGGTCCAGGTGGGACAAGGGCACCGTGTCTTCTTCGTTCACGTGGCGGTCAAACTCCGACTTCAACAGCGGCCGCTGGTTGTCGGGGAACGCCAGCGAGAACAGGGCTTCTGGCTCGCACACGAACTTGTACACGTATCGCTCGCCGGCCACCTGCAGGGGGTGGGGGTGGGGTGGAAAAAACAGCGCCCAGTAAAAACCAGCGGGGGTGGGGTGGGGTTGGGTGGGTGGGAGGTGTGGGCGAGGGCTTTTCCGCCGTCACCAATTGGGGTCTCGCCAACCCCACGGAGCGATTCCGAGTCCTGGGCGCAAACCAAATGGCCGTAGACAAAAGCCATGGGGTGGGGGGGGGGCGGGGCGGCCACAGGGGAGACGGGGCGAGCAGGAAATGTTGGTTCCTTCGAACGCGGATTATTAGTTGCCTTTTCTCTTTCGAGGAAATAACATCACGGGATACAGTACATGACGATGATAATAATAATAATGATGATAACAATCCTCGCCTTCGATAAAGCGCCGTCTCACGCCGTCGAGACGTCCCAAAGCCCTTCGCAGGGCACACACCGTAAAGCGTGTTTTCTTTACTAATTAAATACATTTTTTAGATAGATTTAAAGGTTAAAAACGATAAAGAAACGTCCGCCATTATGCTACGGAGACCATAAGCTCGAACCGGGTTAACACTGACCTTCTGCATGATTCCTTTCTCGTAATAGTAGCGCAGCGAACGGCTCAGCTTATCGTAGTTCATGGCCGGTCTGTTCTTCTGCATTCCCCAAAGTCGGGCAACCTGACGACACAGAGAGAGAGTGAGAGAGAGTGAGCGGAAACCGTGAAACTTCTGTTCGATGTCGCGCCTCATCTGCTTCTTCGAGACGTCTCGAATCGTCCACTGTAAAGCGACTCGACTGCGTATTTTGTAGACGAGGTGGGGGGAGAGGGTTCAACAACAATTCGCGCACACGTACAGCCCCTTTACGCGCGCCGGCGCCCCCCCGGAGCGCTTTAACGTCAGCCTCGACGCTGAACTCGAAAGTCCCGATGTGGGCTCGAACCCGTAAACTTCTGAAGACCCTCTCACCGTCTCTCTCTCTCTCTCTCTCTCACTCACACGCAGTCTCTCTGACGCACATCAGCGCGGTGTGTGTTTCGAGGGCGAGATAAATGGATTCGACGAACGCAGAAAAATAACGTTATTAAAGCAGGCGAATCCCGTTTCCCCTCCGAGAGAGAAACACCCCCCCCCCCCCCCCGACAAACCCCAACAGTCTGGCAACCCGGGAAGCAGTCGGACTGGGCTCGGTGACGGTTTAGTTCATGTGCGCGGCTTCACGCCCCGGTGAAATCGACCCCCGCTGCCGAGAGCGAGCGAGAGAGAGAGAGAGAGAGAGAGCCAGAAGCGGATTCCAATGGATTCGTTATACGCCGCTTAGGGCCGAGGGAAATGAATCAATTAATAATACTAATAATCCTTGCATTTGATATAGCGCTTTTCACGTCGGGAGGACGTCCCAAAGCGCTTCACAGAACACACTGTAAAGTGAATTGACTGTATATTTGTGGGCGAACGCGGCAGCCAATTGCGCACAGCAATGTCCCACAAAGTGTCGTAGATTGAAAATGACCAATTTATTATTGTTTTTGGTTTTGGAGGGATTGTTATTAGGCTCTGTGTGGAGTAAGGAAACTTGCCCAAGGTTTTCCCCTGACCTGCCGGGGATTGAACTCAGGCCTCTCACTTACAAAGCGAGTGCTCTAACCACTAAATTACAGCTTTTATTGAACATTATCCGCCAGATCGCAGTGCGACTTAAACGCCGAGCGTCCCCGTAACTCGCGCAAACTGCCTCCAGCAAACGGCCCATCATAGTCCCGGCCACGAGTAAATCAAGCCCCGCGCGGGATGTCGTGTTGTGTGGGGCGGGGGAAGGGGGAAACGGGGGGGGGCGGGGGGTTGTGTGGGCGGAGAAATATTCTCTCTCGCGTCTCTCTTTGCGCGCGTGTGAGCGCGTGTACTTGCGTGTGTGTCTGTGTGTGTGTGTGTCTCTCTCTCTCTGTCTGTGTCTCTCACTGTCCCTCTCTCACATTCTCTCCCTCTCTCCCACTCTCACCGTCTCTCTCTCTCTCTCTCACGCACAGTCTCTCCGACACGCCACAGCGCAGTGTGCGTTTCGAGGGCGAGATAAGACATAGACGAATAATAATAATAATAATAATATGCAAGGTTGACGGTAATAAGTTGTTGGCGTCGTCGTCGACGTCCTGCCGGTGTCAGGCATACGCCAGTCCAGGTCACTGGGTTCCTGCCAGCCTCTCATCCCCATTGCCCCCCCAACCCCCGCCACCCGCGCCCCCCCACCCACACACACACACACACCCGCACAGACACACACGCCTCCCTCTCACCTCCTCCGGCTCCACGAGCTTGAATTCCATGCCCCGTCCTGTCCAGGCGATGAAATTAGAGTTGGCCGGGTCATCGAGGAGAGCGACCAGGAACTGCCAGAGCTGCAGAGATCCCCGTCGCTGGTACAGGGGCCCCTCCCGGTACACCCCCAGCTCCTGTTTGATGTCACCTGTGGAGACACGAGCGATAATCACGATGGTAACGCTGACGACACCAACGCTCGCGTTTGGCACGGCGCCTTCTCACGCGGCCGAGGCGTCTCAAAGCCCTTCGCAGGATTTATTTCGCGAAGTAAGGCGGAAGCGACTGTGCGCTCTGTGGGCGAAACGTGCCCGTAGTCCACCTCCCGCCGCGCGCGCTATCATTTGGCAAACGTACCAAGACAGCAATCGCCCCCCCACCGCAACCCTCCCACCCCATTGCCCCACACTGACCGGCCACCCACGCACTCACGGAAACCCGCCACCGTCTCCATACCGCGAAACACACAGTCGGTTCACTTCACAGCTACCCCCGCGAAGCGCCCTTGAGACGTCTCGGAAGACGCGAGCGATTAAGGCGCCGGCTCAAACCCCAGGACTGTCATTCTAACGTAGATTTCCACATACGTGCTCCACCGACACGTGGGAAATTTCCCCGGGCACCGCTTCTCCCTGCGCCTTCGGTAAGTTACAAACGTAACAGGGTTTTGTTTTGTTTTCTCATTTTTTTTGGAATGAATCTCCGATTTTTAATCGAATTAACAAAAAAAAAACAACCCCCCCCCCCCTCTTGCTGTATCCCGGCCCGTTAAGCAGCCAACCGCGGCCAACCCTTGCTATTTGCCGCTGGTAAATCGAGCTCGGGTTCAGAGAGTTTTGGCAGGATGTCCGAGGAAGCTTTCCATCATAGTTTTGGACACAGAGAAACCCCCCCCACCCCCCTCCCCACCCGAGTGTTGGAAACAAACTTGGAGATGACGCAACGCAGTAGTTCCGTTCACACTTCAATTGATACGCTCTCGGATCTGGAAGCCATTCAATTGACGTTCGAATAAACTATCGTCGCTGGGGGCTGGTTCCCCCACAGCCCCATCCGAGTGGGTGCGCGCACGTTGAAGGGCAATGTTTCCAGCCGGGTCCCCTTGCGAGGCGAGGGCTCTGACCCCTCCGAGCTGCTGGACTCCGCGGAGGAAGTCCACCTCACCCCTTCAGAGGCTTGGTCGACAGTCAGTGCGACGCGTCCCACACCCGGCGCACACTCCAGGACTTGTTTATTGTCGAGGCTGACACTCCAGTGCAACACCTGTGCATTATCAGGGAGCACTGGCCCCTCTCCGCTTGCCCCCCTCCCCCTCCCTCTACCTTGCCACCCCTCTCTCCCTCCGCCTTGCCCCCCCTCTCTCTCCGTCTTGCCCCCCTCTCTCCCTCCGTCTTGCCCCCCTCTCCCTCCGCCTTGCCCCCCTCTCTGCCTCCGCCTTGGCCCCTTCTCTCCCTCCGCCTTGCCCCCCCCCTCTCCCTCCGCCTTGCCCCCACCTCTCTCCCTCCGCCTTGCCCCCGTCTCTCCCTCCGCCTTGCCCCCCCTCTCCCTTTACTGCGATGTGTTACCGCGGGCGGCGGGCGGAGTTTTTTTTGGCGGGATTATTATTTTGAAATCCGGGCGGATTTAAATGGCGCCGGGACCGTTAAAGGGGAACAGTTGCTGCTTTCGGTTTGTTTGTTTTTCGGGCGGGAGGAACGCAAACCAGACCCCGGGCCCCGGGCGCGGAGTTCATTTAGTTCCTCCTCACCTTCGAACTTGTCAGGAACCACGGAGGCATCGTCGCAATACGATCTGAGCTGCTTCTCGTACGAAAAGCCTGGGACACAAAGAAGCAGAGTTATTGATCGCCTCATGCTTTATGTCATTCCAGCGGCTCGCGCCGATCAATCATCCCTCCGCTCGATCCTTAAAGCCCGTCAGTCAGCTGAAAGTCATCCGGTACTGGCATAGCAGCACGATGGGGCGAGGGGGATGGGGGGGGGGGGTGTGTGTGGGCGCGGAGGGGCGAGAGCAAGGCTGAGGATTGCTTCAAGCAATGTCAGAATTGGGGGATGAGATCATGTTTGACTCAGTGATTTATCCGGTAGTAATAATCTTCTCTATTGCTGATTGATGTTTCGAAATCCCCGTTATTATATTGATAAATCTATTCCTTTCATCTCTGCTTCCTCGCAGGAGCCTGACCCCCTCCCACCCACCCACCCACCCAAACCAAGCCACTCACCCTCCCTCCCTCTCTTCCCATCTCCCTCGTTCTCTCTTGTGCAGAGATTTCTGTACGGATGTAAGGCTCCCTCGCTCAACCATCATCTGAAGCGCGTTAAGACTAATAGGCGATGGCCAAAGTTTCCTGTGAATCACCAGCACGGACCGGATGAGCGATTTCCGCCCCTCCCCTCTGAGATTCGCTGACTAATCAATTAATGGAGGATTGTCAGCTGAGTTTTAGCGGAATAAACCCCCCCCCCCACTTTCTCTCCGGGAATAGGACCATCGGGGAAAGTCCATGCCTCATGAAGGTCCGCCAGACAGAACCTCGGGATTCATCCCAGCCCTCCGCTAGTTATTCCGAGAGAGAGAGAGGGGGAGCCTCAGTGACTAAAGAGTCGCAGAGAATAACACGGTTTTCTCCCCGCGCCCCACCCCCCCCCCGCACCCCGAATGTCCTCCCCCTTGTACTGTAAGATTCTATTATAATGCCTCGTTTCGCCCCCTCCAAAAAAATAAATACGGTCACATTCACTTTACGGCGCATTCTGTGAAGCGCTTTGAGACGTCTGGAAGACGTGATAAGGCGCCGGGTCAAATTGCAAGGATTATTATGACGACGACGTAGACGATTATTATTATTATTATGCTTATTATTATTCGCCAATGATTTTTTTTTTTTACCTTCGGGGTTGCTGCACGGGGCTGGGTAACCTTCATTGGGCATGTAGATAGAAGGACAGCCTGGGACATCTGGACGGGAGAGAGAGAGAGAGAGAGAGAGAGCGCGACAACAGTGAGAATCTATTTGACCAGTGAACACAACAGGGCAACGAACACGAAACCTTTGGCCCACAAAATTCGCTTCGCAGTGTATCCCGTGAGGCGCTTTGAGACGTCTCGAAGACGCGATGAGGCTTTAATACTATTAAACCCGTCTCTGGGGCCGAGCTCAGTCACCGAGCCTCTGAAGGAGTTAACCTGGCTATTGGGATAGTTCAAAGGATGTCTCCCGTCTATAAACGGTGGATGCGTCTCATTAAACTGGGACCTTATAAGGAAATGTATTCAATGCAAAGGTCAGGACGAAAGGAAATTCCCCTGGAGGAGCAGGAGGAGATTTGCGAGAGATTTCTCTCTTTCCGCAGCCGAATGGGAACGACCACAAATCATGGAACTGACCTGAAGGGGAATGACAAGAGCGAGTGTGCGTGTTGTGGTGATTGGATACCCAGCCCACACCCCCACCCCACCCACCACCCACCCACCACCCTCCCACCCACCCTCCCCCGGTGCTGTGTAATTACGCGGCTCGCTAGCCACACGCCCAGATCAACAAATGCTCTCGGGTTCCAGGCCCGGCCCCTGGTTTCCTCTCTCTATACGTCGGGTATGAACTTAGGCTGTTTCACGAGTTTCTCAGGAGCGTTTTCCCTTTGTTTTCGAGGGCGCGTGTATAAAGGCGCGCTCGCGCGCGTGTGTATATATAGTGGGAGTGTGTATTTTGGGGTGCGAGTGAGTGTCAAGGTCCAAGGTGTGTGAGTGTGTGTGTGAGTGAGTGTATGTGTGTCTATGTGAGTGTGTGTGTGCGTGTATTACTGGGGGGGAAGTGCTTTTGTGGGCTTGTTCCCCTACTAGACTCCAGTCCAATTCCCTTATCCTTTCCCCACCACGCCCTCCTTCGAGGCACCTCCCAAGAAGCAGCCCTCCTCCTCTTCGGCCGTGCCTTCCGCCACCCTCTTACCCCTCACCCTCCCTGTCCCTCCACCCTCCCCTTACCCCAAGCCCCGTTAGGGTCCAAATCCCCGACTGTGTCCAGCTCCTCGGTACATCCTCCCGACCTGAGAGGACCGCTCTACAAATGTATTGCGCTGTGACCTGGGGCTTTTGGGCTTTGAGACAGAGAGAGAGAGAGAGAGCAAACCGCTCAGTCCTATTTGCCCGCTCTCCCCCTGCCCCAACCGAGCCCGGGAGGTTTGTGGATCGCGGTGGGAGGAGGGGGGCGTGCCTTTAAGAGTTGGGAGGGGAGGAAAAAAAAAACGCAGGGGCTCAGTCGGTCTAAAGTTCCCGAACATCTGGCTGTCTTTAGCGGTGGCTGCAAGGAACCGCCATCGCTGGTTCACTTGGGCAAGTTTTCCCCTCTAACCCTGTCGGTGTCACGTGCCCTCGGAGAGGAAGCGTCTAGTGAAACCTGACACCGGAGTTCACTCCAGCTGGGAATTCTAACCTCTCAAGCCCCCGGGGTTTTTTTTTTTGTGAATGAAACGCTGACTCCTCCATTCACAGAAAAGCAAGCCGTGTGTGTGTGTGTGCGTGTGTGTGCGCGTGTGTGTGCGTGTTGGTTTTTTTTTCGCTCGCGCTCCCACTCCCGCAGCCCCGGGGGCCGCATGAAATGCGACGGAGGGGCTGTCGCGTGGGAGGGAAGGAGGGAGGGAGCGATGGAGGGAGGAGGGAGCTCCCATTATCTGGCAGGAGGTGGACGAGAGAGATTAACCTGCAGAAGCAAATGCACAGCAACCACATTGCACATCACTTTCACACACTTACAAACACACACAACTTTAAACACGCACAGCAATATGGCGGGGGGTGGGGGGGGGGCTGGGGGAGAGGGGGAGCTTTTAAGAGCACGTGTGTGTGTGTGTGTGTGTCTGTGTGTGTGTGTGGAGACATCGGAAGTCAGGGACCACCTTACGACAACCTTCTCGCAGAACGCTTCACGGTGCAGTGGCGGGGAGTCTGACGACGAGCCAAGGGGAGAGGGGTGTTGAAGGGCGGGGGGGCGGGGGGGGGTGTGGGAGGGGGAGGTGACCGTAAGCACGATCGAAAAGGGAAGGTCTTCAGGCGGGTTTTGAAGGTGGGGAGGGAGGGAGGGCGGGAGGGAGGGAGGCGGAGGGATCGAGGGAGAGAGTTGCAGAGTTTCTCAGGGTGTAATGGCTGAAGGTACGGCTGCCGATGGTGGAGCGGACGTGCAATCTGGGTCACTTACCTGGGTCGTAGGCATAATCCGGGGGCTCCTGCTTGATGACCATGGTGTGTGAGAAGCGATGATCCCCGGTGTTGTTGACTGGGTTCCTCTCCTCATACACAGGGTCGTGGTATTCCTGCTTGTAGCCTTGTGGTGGGTAGGGCAAGCAAGGCTCTGACATCTGCCTCTGATACCCTGAGACCCCCTCCCTGTTCAAGCCTTGGGAGGAGGGGAAGGGACGACACATTTCCACGGACTGTTGTCGAAACTGCGACCTGTGTGGTTGTCGGGGTGGGTGGGGGGAGGAAAGGGAGAGGGTGAAATAGGCGGTGAAATATTTCGCGGAAAAAGAGACCAACCAAATCTTTTGCTCGTTCCTCAACCTCTCTGTCCCACCATCGGTGGCCAAGCCTTCAGCCAAGATGCCCACATTCTCAGGCACTCTCCCCAAATCCCACCTTCTCTTCCTGCTTTCAACCTCTAGTCGATGTTCCCCCCCCACACACCCTCTCATCCCACGACTGAGGAAGGACTGAGTAACGAGTGAGTACCTGTGTTCCATTGGGAATCTGACATTGGGCATGGGCTGGTGGGTTGATTGGAGGTTCATGAAGCCTTGGTCATGTCTGGAGTCGAGGCCGGGCTTATTGCAGACCTGCTGTAAGGGGGGGTTGGAAGGGGTCCCCGGGAGGGGGGAGTGGATTCCCACTTGTGGTTTCTTCTCGTAGGCACTGGGGGAAAGGAAACGAAAACGTGAGATACGGTCCTGGTGATGGAAAGCATGAGCTACCATCGCTTTAATAAGCCCGGGATACACACGCAACAGAAACCTTGTCTTAAGGTCACCAGTCAGCACGATACTTGTGTAGTCGTTACGTCGGATAAAGTCCGACTTATACACAACTTGACCTAAGTCATAGACGATACGACTTATGCGAGTTCCGCGTAGCTCAGACTTTGCATGAGTTGTATTAAATGGACCGCGACTCTGAACGCTACACAGTAGAGAGGCTGGAGCGAGGGAGACGAGGAGGAGGGGATTGGGTGGGGGGGGGGGGGGAGTGTAGGGGGGGAAAGGGGGAAGTGATCCTGGGCAGAGCCGAGGAGTTAAGTCTTCAGGGAGGATTCAAAGACAGATAAAGTGGGGCGCGAGGCGGAGTGATAGAGGCAGGGAGTTCCGTAAGTTAGTGGGCCTGACTGAAACACGTCATCCGTCCCAGCTGCCCCGACCATCCTCCTCACGCCGTTTCTATACTTAAGCACCCGCCTCCCCCCCTCCACCCCCACCCCACCCCCTCCTCTCCCCCCACCCCCACCAAACAGCGTCGGCCGAACGGCTAAAAATAGCGACATTCCTGCTCAGAAGAAGTCGTGTCAACGACCTCATCAGCAGCAAAACAGTTCACCGTCGCTGGCGTCGACACCAGAAATATCCCAGATTTCCTCAGGAAAAAACATTCAGGAATTATTTATAAACCCGCACGGACGGAGCTGGAGGAGGGAAGGGGGGGGGGGGGGGCAGCGGGGGGTAGGAAAATAAGTCACGATCGTCCCTAACCCGTCCGAAGGTCAGTCATTGTTCGCGCGCATTTCCTTCGTCACATTCCCCTTGTTTTTAAAGCAATATTACCCCCCAGGTCAACCCATCGCCCCACTGACACACTTGAAGGCAGGAAAGAAGCAACCAGTTAATACAAAAAAAGAGAGCTCATATTTGGGTCAAAATTAAACCTTGCGATGATGATTATTGTTACGTTATTACAGATTAACGGGAGGTTAACCCTCCTGCTTGAGGGGCCCTATATATAATATATATATATATATATATATAATGTATATAATAATCCCTCCAAAATCGAAACCAATAATAAATTGGTCATTTTCAATCTACGACTGTTTGTGGGACATTGCTGTGCGCAATTGGCCGCCGCGTTCGCCCACAAATATACAGTCAATTCACTTTACAGTGTGTTCTGTGAAGCGCTTTGGGACGTCCTCCCGACGTGAAAAGCGCTATATCAAATGCCAGGATTATTATTATTATTATTATATAAAAGCAAGTTGTTGTCGCTGGCATCTCTTGACGGTTCTCAGCGACGGGTCGGCCAGACCAACAACGCTGCCACTTTACACGTGAATGGATGCAACTTTTCTCAAGAGAGGAACGTAGGAATTAGGAGCCGGAGTCGGCCATTCGGCCCCTCGAGCCCTTCCACCGCCATTCAATAAGATCATGGCTGATCTTCTAACCTAACTCCATCTGCCCGCCTTATCCCTTAATCCCTCTATCCTCTAGAAATCTATCACGCTTAAGATATTTAATGCTTAAGATACTTTAACTAGCTACGTTCTGGAGGGGGGGGGGGGGGCGTTATATTTTGTTCCTTATGATAATATCGGGTCTGTCCTTTATTATTATCGTTAATAATATTATTATTATTGTTAATAATAATGATAATCCTTGTGTTTGGCATCCGGTCCCTTATCACGTCTTCAAGACGTCTCAAAGCGCTTCACAGACTTCTATATAGACTGTATAGTGAATCGACCGTGTGTTTTGCGGGCGAAACGCGGCAGCCAATCTCCAATTTCTTGGAGGCGCTTAAACCATCAGTGGGCTCTGGTTACTGTATGTGTATAGCGGGTGTGTTATAACAGGAGTTTGAGTGTATAGTGCACGTCGCTCTCTCTCTCTCTCCACCACCGTGACCTTCTGAGTTGCCGACGTTGGGGAGAGTCTGCGGCAAACTCCGCACAGCACTGACCTGGCATAAAGGCATTGCTCCCCATTGCTGTACCGGAAAGGCTGTTTGTGACAACAGGACAGGTTGGGGTCAGAGCCGGGACTCTGTGGCTCCTTCTTGATCTTCAGAGTGGGACTGTGAAAAGCCACTGCGGAGAGAGGGAGAGAGAGAGAGAGAGGGGAGAGGGGGGGGGGGGAAGAGAGAGAATGGGAAAGAGAGAGACCGAGAGAAAGAGGGTGGGAAAAGGAACGAGAGAGTGAGAGAGAGTTAGAGAGAGAGGAAGATTGAGAAAGCAAGAAAAAGAAAGAGAAGAGGGGGAGAGAGACAGAGAGAGAGGAGAGAGAGAGAGAGAGGGTGAGAGAGGAAACCGAGAGAAACAAAAAGAGATAGAGAGAGAAAGTAACAAAGAGAGAGAAGGAGAAAGAGAGAGAGAGAGAGGGAGAGGGAGGGGGGGGGGGTGGTGAAAGAAGTAAAATTAATACCCATTATAAATTTTCCACGCAGTGCCAGTACTCAGCGAAATTCCGATCAATACATGTCTACATTACCTTAAATGAATGACTTCCACAAGCCATGGGAACCTTAACGCTGGCACGATATTGCTGAGAGAGACATAATGGATAGGCAGTTCCAACAACAATGAACGATTTAGTTTTTTTTATTGTTAAACATTTCAATTCGGAGCTGCTGCCAGTGATTACACAGATAGCCTCTCACACCATTAGCACTGAACCGGTATTGACATCCCATAATCCGGCTTTATTTATTGTGTACAAGAAGCCAAACCAATCATCCATCTATCACCAGGGTAATGCAGGGGGTGATTAATTGATCGCCATCAATTCAATAGGAACCCATCGATTCCCAAATGGTAATTGAGAGGAAATTTACATAATTGGCAAATCGATGCCGGACCGGCGAAACCGTAAAGCGACGACACCACCTGTGCGCTGCGCGCGGATCGGTCGACCCAGCCTCCACCGGCACTATCAGGTAGACAGGTGGACAGGTAAACATCGACTACTTTAGTGACCGTCCAGCGAGAGGAAGCGCATTAAGCGCAATACCATTACAGCAACTCTCAGAGCACTTAGACCTCAAACGCTTATTAAGACATTGCAACGTCTGATAGGGCTTTGAAAGAAATGATGATTTTGTTTTAGATAATAGGGAAGATATCACCACTTTCTGGTCACCCTGTGTTATCGTACGTTGCAATTACAAATTCTTATAATTAGATTATCTTATTTATTACTTGTAAAAGTAAGCGTATCATATTATCTTATTGAGTCTCAATGACGTGATAAGGCGCTATAACAAACGCAAGGATGATGATTATTATTTTATGGGGGAAAGAGGAGGTAAAAGGGACTGAAAGGATTAAAAGAGTTGGCACTGACCCGATGGGCTGAATGGTCTTCTTTCATGCTGTAAGTTTCCTCGGTTCTATAATAATAATAATAATAATCCTTGCATTTGATATAGCGCTTTTCACGTCGGGAGGACATCCCAAAGCGCTTCACAGAACACACTGTAAAGTGAATTGACTGTATATTTGTGGGCGAACGCGGCGGCCAATTGCGCACAGCAATGTCCCACAAACAGTCGTAGATTGTAAATGACCAATTTATTATTGTTTTGGGTTTTGGAGGGATTATTATTAGGCTCTGTGTGGAGTAAGGAAACTTGCCCGAGGTTTCGCCCTCTGCCTGGAATTGAACTCAGGTCTCTCACTTGCAAAGCGAGTGCTCTAACCACTGAGTTACAGGACTCCTCTATGATTATGACTTGGACTGGTATTGCTTCCTAAACGAGATCTGAGCGAGTCAGGATCCGAGTGAGACAATAACTATTGAGAGGGAACTTTGTTTGCCCTCAAAACACACAGTCGCTCGCTGCACTTTAGGGTATATCTTTGGCCGCCCTGTATTATTTATTACACATTATAAATCACAAATTCCGCAACGTGAAAGACAACAGGATGAAAAGTAAGGATTATTATTATTATTATTAATATTATTATAATCGTTGCGACTGGGAAGCCTGGTGTTGGATAATTTCGTCAACTTAGGGAAAGTCTTGGGGCAAAAACAAAGTTTATTTTTTAGCAGCCGGGCGCTGTCAGAGATAACTTACCTCCGGCTAAATACTAAATAAATAAGCCTTGTAAACCAGTTCTCTCTCTCACAACCTCTCCGGGTGCTTCCACGGTCTTGTAGGCAGTTTGTACACATGACATCCAGTCACTTGAGATTGTTTTTCTTTCAGTGGATGTTTTTTTGTCTAATTGCCCTGAGCTGCTGGTGGTGGGGTGGAGGAGGTGGAGACTGTGGGTTCAGACACCACGACCGAACTTAGGTGAAGAGATGGCGTAGCGTTCTGCACGTTCGGTCTTAGTTAATTAATTAATAATAATAATAATCATAATGGTTGCATTTGAATTAGCTCCTCGTCACGTCTTCGAGACGTCTCAAAGCCCTTCGCAGGCTACACCGTTAACGTGAATTGACTGCGAATTTTGTGGGCGAAACGCGGCAGACAATTTTGCGCAAGACAACGTTCCACAAACAGCCGGGAAAGCAAGCGACTGACTTTACAAGAGGGAGAGAGAGAGAGAGAGAGAGAAACTGCTTTCTCCTGTGGCCACTCGGCCCCCTTTGACTGAGGCATTTTCTTTTGTGTGTAAAACCATACACGGATTAAAAACAACCGTGAAGCGAAAAGGCCGCGGGCTTTTTTTTTTCTTCTTCCCATCGGACGAAATTCGACGAGAAGACGACAACAACAACAACGGAAAAAGCCACAGCGCTTGACTGTGAGAGTCCGTGGGACTCGGGGGGCGGGGGGGTCGGGAGCCGTCTTTATTCGCGAGGAGATGTCAGTCATGAAGAAATAAACTCTAACAATCCTCATTGCCCGGAGTTTGACGTCATGGGTCCAGGACACGCAGCGAGTGGAAAATCTGGATCGCTCAGGAACAAACAACCCAACTCCTTTAAAACAGCAAATAAACACCAGAGGTGACGCAGTTTCGGTCAGAATGAAACCCAGCGACAGGCAAGGCAGCGTGTGGAGCCCAGACAGACGCTTTTATTAAACAGGAAGCAGGCGGCTTAGCTCGAATTCAGCCAAGCACACATCCGCAACCTCGTTCAGTTACCTACAGGCCGACCTCACTCCCTCTCCCTCTCTCCCTCTCTCTCTCTCTCTTGAAAATCGCTCGACGTCAACAGTTCACAGCAAAGCCGTTTCGAACAGCGCTTCATTTAAAAAAAAAAATGCTGCGAGTCTGTTGGATCCCTTGTCATTTGGCTCCGAGGCTTAAAGGAGAACGGCAAATGGTTCTCCCTTTTTTTTTTAAGTCACGTCTTAAGCGCCGCTCCCGAATCTGAATCGTTTCGGCGCGGGGAGGGTTTGCCACACTGGAAGGTGAAAACCCAGCTCCCCGTCTGTGCCCCGTTAAGAGCTCTCGCCGCGCTAGTCGGAAAGAGGACCGGGTTTTTCTTCTCTCCACCCCCCGCACCCACACCCACCCCCCCCCCCGGCGTCCCCAGATTTATTTTCCCCGAAAAGATCGGAAATTGGTCGTTCGCTTCACGGCCGTCTGCGGGACCCCCGCCGGGCGCCAGTCGGCTGACGCGTTTGCCCACGAGATACAGAGCCGCCGCGCTTTGTGGAGTTCCTGTAGCTCGGCGGTTTAGAACCCGCGCCTCGCAAGCGAGAGGACCCGGGTTTGATTCCCCGGGCGGGTCAGGTCGGGTCAGGGCGAAACCTTGGGCGAGTTTCCTTACTCGCCCCACACACCTACACACGCGCACACGCCTCTGTTTACCAGCAGTAAATAGGAACCCAGTTGTTGGTCGATTAGCGGAATGCTTTTCCGGGGGTAATAACCCCTTCAAAGTAATAATAATAATAATAATAAATTGCTTTTCCGGGGGTAATAATCCCTTCAAAGTAATAATAATAATAAATTGGTCGCTCGATCCACGGCTGTTTGTGGGGGGGGACGCAATCGGCTGCCGCGTTTCGCCCACAAAATATACAGTCGATTTACTTTACAGTAACTTATGGATTATTGTCCATTGCAACAAAAGCCTTTCAGACGAGGTGTTGTTGGAGGAGGAGGAGGAGGAGGAGGGAGGAAGGAGGGAGGAGGGAGGGAGGAGGGAGGGAGAGAAGTGAAGTAGAAAATAAACGTTTAAGGAAACTTGCTTTGAGTGGTGCTGTCAGTGACAGTCAGTGGCCATTGTGCGAAGGTTGAGCGATTGAAAAATCAATGTAAAGTGTCGTTAAAAGAGAGAGAAAGAGAGAGAGAGAGAGAGAGAGAGAGAAGAGACAGAGAGAGACAGAGAGAGAAAGAGACAGAGAGAGAGAGAGAAAGAGACAGAGAGAGAGTAAGAGAGAGAGAGCGCAGTGGGGAAAATCTCTGACTGTGCAGAGGGCAAATGTGCGAGTGGGGTTGGGGGGGGGGGGGGGGGAGGGAAGAGAGGAGGGGGGAAATGGTATATTACGTAACCTTCCCCCCCCCCACCACCTCAAGAGGCATCTCCCGAGACCCGCTGACCATTCATGAACCTATGAAACACACTAATGACCATATACAGTCAGCGCTTCCTGTTGTTAATGACCCACTACCACTGTTATAGAATTACAACCACTCCATTCATAAAAAAAAGGAACGCAAAGGGTTTGCCTGCTTTCACTTTATGGGTCAAGGCTGGAGGGGAGAGACGGGGGGGAGGGGGAGAAGGGAGAGAAGAGGTGGGTGGGGGGGGAGAGAGTGGGGAGGTGCGGAGACAAGGAGGGGGAAAGGTGGGAGAAAGGGGGGGAGCGCGGAGGGAGGGGGGCAGAGTAGAGGGAGCAAGGGGAGGGGAGCGCGGAGGTAGGGGGGAGGAGGGTGCAGGGTAGAGGGAGAAAGGGGGGGGGAGCGCGGAGGTTGGCGGGAAGGGGAGAGAAAGGAGGGAGGGAGGGGGAGGGGGAGAATAGGGGAGGGAGCAGGGGAGAGATGGGGGGGGCGGAAAAGAGAGAGGAGGGAGAGAGGGGGGGAGAGGGGGGGGGGAAATCGTGAGCTGCAAATGGCTTTTGACAGAAGGAGGGAGGGAAAAGGCAAACAGATATACAGACAGACTGACCGACTGAGAGACGGATGATAGACAGACACTGACAGACCCATAAAGGAAGGTTTTTTTTTAAAAAAAACCAAATTTCTGCAACGAGATCCATCAGCCATCAAAACCCCTCATCGCCAAACAACACTTAACCCCCTACACCCCCCCGACTGCTGGATAGGCCTCTCGTCTGTTCCTTCCCACCTTGTGAGAGGCACCGAGGAGATGCTCGTAACCCGGTTTCTTTTTGCAGTGCTTATGGGGGAAGGGGAGGGTGTGGGATGAAAAAGACCCTATGGCACATTCCACCCCCCACAACCACCACCACCCTCCCAACCACCCTCCCTTCCCTCCTCTTCTCCACCCCCACCCCACCCCCCCCCCCCCACCTCTCCTCCCTCCCAGGGTGCAGTTATCCCGTGAATTCCCTTCATTTCACTGTAAATTCACTTTTCGCCTGTTTGTCGTTGTAGACCTGCATCTCTGACCGTGCTTTCGGTTATCTTCTCCCCCCCACCCCCCCCCCACTCCACACCAACCACCCACCCATCTCCAATCCTTTCCCCTCCGCCCCCGCCACCCAGCTCAGGTTTAAGCCAATACTGTCAAGCACCTTGAGACGTCCTCCGGACATGAAATGCAAGGATTGCTGTTACGTTCCGTATCCCAACCCGCTTACCCATTCCCCCCACCCACACTGTCCCCCCCCATCCCCCCACCCACACTGTCCGCCCCACTCCCTCACTCGCTTTGATTTCAGTCCATCAGCCAAATCCCCAATGATGAATGAGAGCGAGAGTAAGAGAACGAGAGAGAAAGAGAAAAAAAGAGAGAGAGGGGGAGACTGCATCAACTGGGAGACTGTCCGGTTATAGAGAGAAACGAGGCACTTCCAATAATTGACACGATCGATCGGTCACCTCTTCCCATTTCTGTGGCCCTGACCACTACCTCCCTCTGTGCTGGCGCGGGGGGAAAGATTCATCACTCTGACTTCTAACAGCGAAGGGAAAATCAATGACAGCCCCACTCGCTCTCAGTACTTTCTGAACATTTCAGGGCAAACTCTTTCCAGTAGCGTTTAAACCCCGTCCAAACTTTTTGTCTTATTAAAAAAAAACATCGAGGCAAAGGGGGGCTGTTAGTGACTTGCGACCCAATGCCTTGAAATATCGGATCACAAGACAACAGTAAAGGTGATGATAATAATCATCTTTGCACTCGACACAGCGCCTTATCATATCTTCAGGAATATAAAGTGAATTGAGAGTGTATTTTGTGGACGAAATGTCATCAGAGACTTAAATGCATCACTTTATTCTGCTTGTGACAAAAGGGCCCTTCTCCATCAGAAACCCAGTCTGATTACTAACGTAAGACCCATGATCAATAGATCTACTGTACAATAAAGCCTCCCATATCCTAACCCTCCCTCGCTTTCCCTCCGGGGGTGAGGTAAAGGGGCTCTGGAATGAAATTCCAGAGGGTGGGATTATTGCTATTGTTGTTATTTAATAATTCTTCTTATTAGTAATTCGTATTAAATAATAAGAATCGTTGGGATTTCACAGTGAACCCTCTAACTCGGAAGCGTCTGAAAGCCGCCAATAACATTAATAATAATATTAATTAATAACCCTCGCGTTAGATACAACGCCTTTCACATCGGGAGCACATCTGAAAGCAAAGTGCTTCCCCGCAAAGTGAAATGACTTCGATTCCTTTGGTAGACCGAAAAAAACCAAAAAACACACACGGGCCAATTTGAGACAGTCTCACACGCTCAGAGAAAAAAATAAAGTCACGCAGTAAATGACCAAGCGAAGGCTCAGGATTCCGCGAAAGGGACGGCAACGCAAGTTCTATTTACGCGAGAGTTTTTCCCAGAGAAAAGGTCTCGAGGCGGAAAAACAACCTGCGTTCGCGATCAAAACCAACACCGCACAGGCGTAGAGAGAAGGGAAGGGGGTGGGGGGGGAAGGGGGGGGGAAAGTAAAGTAATGTACTCACACGTTTCGCAGTGGTAATCTGGCACAAACTGTTCGTCGCTGTCTGGCACCTGAGCTGAAAGATTGGAGGAAAAATGAAAGAATAAAAAGTTCAGCATCGGCAAAAAAAATAACCCCCCCCCCCAAAAAAAAAGACCGTTTGACCAGTCTTAACATCTGACTGTTATAAACTTTTTTTCCATCCAAACTCGTGCGCGCACACGCACCCAACACACACACAACACACACCCACACACAACACACACCAATCGCACACAGCACACGCGCACAACACACATCACACCTACGTCCCTTTCAAGCAGATGTTTTGAGCTTTAATCATAGTACTAAATCATAGTAATAATCCTCGCCTTGAGTGTCGGTGTGGGGGTGGGGGGGGTGTAGAAGGGAGGGGAACGTTGCCTTGAACCGCTTTGCCAGAACTACCGTAAAGTGTAGTGACTGTGTAATTTGCAGGTGGACAATCAATAGGCGCGCAGCAACGACTCACGAACAGCCACGGATTAAATAAATTATTTTAACGGACAGTGGGGCAAGGGGGGGGGGGGGTGGGGAGGGGTGCGGAAGGGGGGTATTAGGGGGTTGAAAAGAGGCGAGTTTGTCAGCCAGGACAACAGAACAAATTCCATTCTCTTTCCAAATAGTTCCATGGGATGTGTTTAAACATTCCAGGGAACAAGCGGACGGGTGGGTCTGGGTTTGGGTGGTGGGGGGTGGGGGGGGGGGTGAGGGCGAAGGGAACCTCGGTTTAATGTCTCAACTGAGGGAGCACAGCCCACCCACCCCCAGCACTGCTCTGCTCGGCTCTGGGACATCTACTCAGTAGAGAAATATACTCCGAAAAACATTGCGATTGAGCTCTGGAAATCGCCACAGACTCACATAACTGCGCTCACACCACCACCTCAGGATATACCACATAAATCACAGGCAATTTCTCTCTCTATCTCTCTCCTTCTCTCTCTCTCCCTCTCTCTCTTTATTCCTCATAATGCAACCATTGTTTGCCCGGCCCCCAGTGACCGCAATATTATCCATGGAGGTGACGGGGCAATAAAAACACTCAATGAGGACAACTGAAATATTTACTTTAGCAGAAGGCGTCACTGATAGCAAGTCCATGCACTTAAGATTATTATTATTATTATTATTATTATACACTTGCCACGTTAACCCGAATGATGCATCATCTCTCGTAGCTTGAGTCGCTGAACTGACATTAGTTTTTCTCTCTCTTTCTCTCATAAATCTCCGAGTATTGCGGACAATCCGGAGAGCATTTGGCGCAGGTTAGCAAGACGCCCCCAAGGCTTGCAGAGAGAGCGTTGGGGGTGGGGGGGGGGGGGGGGGTGGGAAGAAGGGGGATTAATTGCGTTTGGGGGTGTTTAACCCCCTCAACATGCCGGGCGAGATCGAGAGCGGCGTCAGGAAAGGATTTCCGAGCCGTTAGCGCTTTGGCTCACAGGGCTAACAGGAGCGAGTAGGAGGAATCCTTGCTCTCGGTCACCAGTTTATCGCTCTGATCTCCAGCTTAAAAAAAATAATTATACAAACCGCTCCCCCCCACAATCCCCCCCCCCACCCAAAATATTCCTTTGTGACCATAAACCTCACCCCACCTTCCCACTCCCCCCCATGGATTAGTTGCGCTCTCCGCAAAAAAAATTTTTTTTGGTAGAAGGGGGTGGGAGGGAGGAAAATGACAATTTCAAGAACTATCGTCACTAAATTAGCTCCGTTTAAACAACAGCGGCAACGACCACATTCCGAAACGCTGCACATTTCACCTCCGCGCCTCGGGAGGAGAGCGAAAGCGAGACGAGATGTTAAATGTCCCCCCCAAATCAAAAATGAGCCCCATTTAATGATACCGCTTACGGAGTTTGGAGCACCTTACCGTGCCGAAACATCCCAAAGCGCTGCAAAGCGCAGCGACTCTGAATTTCATAGGCGAACGCAGGAGCCAATTTGCGCACAGCGACGTCCCACAGAACATCCATGAAGCGAAGGATCAATTTTTTTTTTGCGTGTGTGCGTGTGTGTGATTTGGGTTGATTTAAGGGTTATCAATGGGGGAGGGGAGGGGGGGGGCGGGAGGGGAAAGGAGGTGGGGAGGTGGGTGTGTGGGTGGGGGGGGAGGTGGGGGAGAGAGAGAAAAAAAGAGAGAGAGGAGAGTGAAGGTGTTTAAGTACCTGAATAGAAGTACATTGAAATGTACAATAATTAAAGGGTGAAATAGACACAGCGCCCAAACAAGAAAGCTTACGTCAAGGCTTTGAGGACCAGATACTGGTCAGGTTTTGCTCCAACCTAAAATCCCCGCCGTTTCCTTTAAGAACCTCCAAACTTCCCTTTATTTTTTTTTAACCCTATTTTTTTTACACACACACACACACACACGAGAGTCTCGAATCCACAGGAACACAGCCCCAAACACCTCCTCTGCTAAAATATCCGACTGTAAGGATAACCCCTCACCCGCCCGCTCCCTTTCTCGATAATAGCAATAAGAAATAAAAACACGATCTGCTTATTTGGCAAAGCAAAAAAAAAAAAATACACACACAGGGGGAGGGGGCCGGGTTTGAAACTACACTCCGCACTTCCAGGTTTCACCCACTAAAGACGCAGTCACTCCATGTGTACAGCGTACTCTGTGAAGCGCATTGAGACGTCTGAACGATGTGATAAGGCGCCGTATGAAATGCGAGGATTATTATTATTAAAGCGGCTAAAATTAGCCACGTTTCGTTCTCAGTCACTACTCCCCCCTCCCCACTCCCTAATTGTTCCCCAGCCCCCACGTCCCGTCCCCCTTTTATATTAGGTACAAAGAAAAGTGTGTACGCAGTTTAGACGAAGTAAATGAAATCTGACAAACAGCTTCTTTTGAACAAAAATAAGGTTGAGTATTGGAAAGAATATAAACAGGGATGGGGAGACGGGCGGGGGGGGGGGGGCGGGGGACTTTGGGGGAGAGGGGGGGGAGAGACAGAGAGAGAAGAGAGAGAAAAAAAAGGTAAGATTAGAAGCTATTTCCTACGAGCAGGAAAGGCTGGATTTGAGAATGGTTCTGCAAGAGCACTTTGATATTGTTTTGACGGCTTCTGATTACAGACTGGGAGGTGGTGGTGTGTGGGGGGGGGGGGGTAAGAGCGGGAGGGAGGGAGGGGGTAACGACTATAAAAAGATTCAACGAAATGCCTTTAACCTAAAGACCCTTCCAGCCTCGAGACAAAAATGGGACGGACGACATTCTAAGCCCAAAACACCTTATTGTTTTGAAAAGAAACCACTCATTTCGCAAAGAAATCCTCTGACGAAATGAACTGAAGTGAAACGAGAGAGCGAGAGAGAGCCAGAGCGAGCGAGAGAGAGAGAGAGAGAGAAAGAGAGAGAGAGAGAGAGATGTGAGTGAGGTTTTGAAAAATAATAAAGCTGTGATTGAAATCAAACGCTTAAATCCAGGTGTTTTTTTGCCTCAAGTTTAACCAAAGAAAAGTTTCCTTAAAAACAGGATAAAGCCTATCTTCCCAGCCTGAAATCCCCTCTCCCCCACACACACAGACACACACACACACACACACACACACAGATACACACAGATACGCACACACACAGACACACACACACACACAGACACACACACACACAGACACACACAGATACACACACACATAGACACACACACAGATACGCACACACACAGACACACACACATAGACACACACACACAGATACACATACACACAGATACACACACACACACACACAGATACACACACAGACACACACACACACAGATACACACACAGACACACACACACAGATACACACACAGACACAGACACACACACAGATACACACACAGACACACACACACAGACACACACACACACACACACACATAGACACACCAGTCATAAACATCTTGATTCCACATTATAATCCTGGACTGACGCAAGCGGCAGATTACAGTTTGACAAAGCGCAGGCGCCTGTATTTTATAGGAAGGTTTGCAGATCTCGGTCTCAGTTTCAAGCTGAGAGAAACACGGGGTTTAACAACAAGGATAACAACAAATTACAGTTTGTACAGCGAGAGGCAAACAGCCGCCCTTAACAAAACGGCGAAATGCAAGAAAATATGTGGAAGTCACAGTGTGCGAAGCTCTAACAAAGAAGCCCTAAGGAATGTGAGAGAGAGAGTGCGAGAGAGGGGGAGGAACACACACACACACACCACACACACACACACACACACACGCGCGCGGTGTCTCATTAAACATTGATAGGTGTGTGTGTGTGCGTATGTGTGGGAATGCAGTTTACATTTATATACCTTTAAAAAATCAATTTGAAAAATAAATACAAATTGGAAGGCTCTCAACCGAATCCAGACGAGCGATTCGTTTATTTTTATATTAAAAACGTCTTTACTTGTAAAGGTGAAAAGTAAAGTTTATATTACAATACACACACACACTGTATATACACACACACACACATATATTTATGGAATTAAAAACAGACTCACCTTCTGCGAGCCAAGTCTCCTGCAGTTGGCTAAGATCGTGAAAAAGATCTGGAAGTGAACATAAAACTCAAGAGGTTCAAGGAGGAGGAGGGGTGGGGGGTGGGGGGTGGGGGTGGGGGGGGGTAAGTTTTAACTTGAGCCGAAATAAATATGTTGCGGTCTTAAGTTTTACTTCTCGTTCACAAAGTGCGCGGTCAACCCATTTTCACAGCGTATCCTGCGAAGAGCTCCGAGACGTCTCGACGACGTGCTACAAGGCGCCGTGTTGTCAAGCGCGAGGATCGTTATTATTCGGCATCGACTTTTACGCTGCAGCTCGAACCCGAAGCGCGAGATACAGCAGAGATACGCCAACCCGCGAGGTTTTCGAACGACTTAAGCCGCAAGTCTAACGCCCTCCTGGGTTGCCGTGTTCCCAGCGGCTTTGCTAACACGGCCGTTGCGCCCGCCCGCCCGCCGTCCGCTTTACCGCGCGTCCCGCGAAGCGCTCCGAGACGTCTCGAAGACCCGAGCGGCGGCTGTGTTGAAACGCGAGGATCGATCTGATGTTTTACCGGCGCAGAGCCGGACTTCAAGTGCTAACTTGAAAGCGCTCCGAGACGCTATCCTGCGCGAGGGGTGCTGTGTAAATAAATGCAAGTTGTTGTTGTGGTGGTGGTGGTGGTGGTGGTGGTGAGTTACCCTCTGATTCCTGACTGAGTTCCTTGTTGAGGTGCCTTCGCTTCCTGGTCTGAGGGGCTGGTTCGTAAATTCCGCTGTCGCGCAATTTCTGTGCAAGGGAAAATAACGAACGGTTCGTTACGTTGATTCAGGGACTCGACTAACGTCGAGTGGATTTACTTGTTTGGGGAGTGGGGGGTAGGGAAAGGAGTTCATTTTACCTTTTATAATAAAAGTCGAAGGGGATTGATAAATTCCCACACGTAAAAACAACTGAACTAAAGCGAAACTTTATTCCCAGATCAAAGAGAAAAAACAAACAGCAAACGAAACCAAAGGAAACTAAGACTAACCTCTTCGCAACGACGTTGTTGAGTTGGCAGATGTGCAAGAATAAGTCGCAGCTGCAACTTTTGCACGACTTAAATCTAACTTCATATCTTGGATTCTCTCTCCCTCTCTCTCTGTGCGTGTGTGTGTGTGTATACATATATATATACATAAAGTACATTTTTAGCTAAGAAAAAAAATACCAGCAAAAATCTGTGTGTCGTTTTAAAACCGCTTTGATTTTTACAGATGTTTTTCACACCCCACTAGTTTTTTTTAATATAAATGTAGATATATTTTTATATAAAACACTCACGTTTGCAATGGTGTAAGGAACTTGCTGATCCAAATAGGCGTCTGCTCTGTATTCCATTGTTAACTGTTGAGGGGCATTTATTAGCCTGAGACTGACATCAACAAGTCTGTATTAGTCTGTAAAGATTGGAGGAGGAATGGTAGGTGGGTGGGGAAGAGAGAGCGAGAGAGAGAGAGAGAGAGGGAGGGAAAGAAGGGGGAAGAACATGAATGAAATGGACGAAAGCATTCACAAATAACCAGCTTCATTCACAAAAAAAAACCCATTCCGACCAGACAGAGCAACCAGCAACTTGTCTGCCAAGGGAACTGAGCTCTTAAAGCGAGGATGGATGGATGCACACACACACACACTCCCTCCTTCCCCTCCCTCCCATTGAAACTTACAAGTAAGTGGCTGCTGACTTTTATTTCTCAGCCTACCAGAGAGAGAGAGAGAGAGGGAGAGAGAGAGAGAGAGAAAGAGAGAGATTTCGCCCATCAAATGCACAGTCACTTCACTTTCCTGCGAGGCGCTCAGAGATGTCTCGAAGGACGGGATGAGTATACCAAACGCAAGGGTATTTTTTTGGTGAAAGAAAGGCGGGCGGTGTGGTGTGGTGGGGTGGGGGGGGCGGCAGCTGGGTGGGGGGGTTAGGTGCAGAGAGAGAGAGAGAGCTAAGAGAGGGCAGCACAGGGTGGGACAACAACAACAACAACAAGATTCCATTTATAAAGCGCCTTTCACGTCAGGAGGACGTCCCAAGGCGCTGCGTGCGAGGAGATGGCTGGTGCCAGCAAAAACGCGATGCTTCACGGCCACCGGGGATGATTATCCCGGCCAATCCGTTACGAAACATCGCATTTTTCACCCCGGGTAACGCACAATAATAATCCTTGCGTTTGATACAATGATAACGACAGCAATAATAACCCTGGCATTCGATAGAGGACAATAGTAAGAAGAATACTTGCACAGCACCTCATCGCGTCTTCGAGACATCTCAAAGCGCTTCGCAGGATAATACGCCGCAAAGTGGAGTGACTGCGTATTTCGTGGGTGAAACGCGGCAGCCGATCGCGCCCGGCGACGTCCCCACGGACAGCTCGTGGAGGGAGCGACCAATTTTTATTTGGGGGAGGGTTCTGGCCAGGGCAGTGGGAGAGAGAAATTCCCTTCTCTTTTCACAGTGCACCACAGGATCTTTAACATCCAGCTTATATTAATTTCTGCTGCTCGCCTCCATTCGATTGATGATTTAAAAATATTTATTTAAAAATAAACAGGCACAGGAGAATTCTATCGAAAAGAAAGATCTTTGGAGCGACCCGAGCGGTATTAGGTTCTTTCTTGGAAATTGATGACATTAAATTCTGGTAAATTTAGTGCTTATGTTACAGTGATTCCTCTTTCAGCGATGAATCCTGTCGATCCAAAGCCATGGAATGTCTTGGCTTCAATGTCAATTAATGCAAAATAATACCGGGCTCAAAACGCAGCAGATATCATACTTCCAAGCCAATGACAGGCAGGCCATCGCATTGAGGTCAGATATTGATGTCCATAATAATAAGTAATGATAATAATAATAAATATAGTCCTTGCATTTCAACCACAGGCTAAGATGCTGCTGCAATAGAGGGTTGGAGGGTGAGGCAGAGGGCTGCACTGTTTGAGATGCTGTCCCTGTATGTGCCTGATCTTGGAAAAGAGAAGGGAATTTGTCTCTTCCCCCCCCCCCCCCCCCCCCGCAAATTGCTGGTCATTCAATTCATGACTGTTTGTGGGACTGTTTGTGTGCACATTCACTGCCGCGTTTGCCTACAAAGTAGTCACTGTGCTTTGCACTGTATACCGCGATGTACACTCCGCAGTGTATACTGCGCAGCACTTTGCGACATCCTCCTGACGGGAAAAAGGCGCTGCATCTAACGCGAGGATTATTGAACAGCTCCTAGAACGTCTCAAGGTGCTCTACAGGTAATTGCTGTAAGGTGTGGCGGCGGCTGTGTGTTTGTGGGCAAACACAGAAGCTAATCGACGCATTGGATAACAGAGAATCATCGCACCGCAGTGTCTAAAACATTTTACAGGTTCAAGATACACAAATGGCTAAAGAAACGGCCCCTTTATAAAGAGGCTTTGAAACGACACAGAGCCTAAACAAATGACCGGCAAAAAAAGGCGTCCGGCAAAATCAAAGGGTATTTTTCTTCGGTGTAAATCTAACCTCAAGAGGCAACTGATAACAGTGTTAAGCGTTGAGAGAATCTGAAATACAGCTATCGAGGTGCACGTTTTAGGGTATGATTTCCTACAGTCACTTCTGATCTAGAGATGTTTTGGGAGGTGAAACACTCAGTTGCCTTGTTCACACACGTATCTCGACTTTCCTCCACCTTGCCTGGCTGGCTTTCCCGCTGCTCGTCCAGCCGGGGCCACCCTCCTCCCCCCCCCCCCCCCGTTAAGGCTTTGGCTTGCGGGGTTAACAGGAGCCCTGCCGCCAGCGACTGGCCTACCCTTCCAAGGTCCTGCCGATGGGCCGGGCCGTGCAGCGAGTGCCCTGGAAGACTGCGGACCTGCCTGGCTCGGGAACCGGACTAGAGAGACCGTCACAGAGGGCTGGCACTGTTCCGACACTCCGGTGCCAGGCAGGCAGGCAGGTCACCCAGTTTGGAGCCAGTTCATCTCTAAAGAGACCCCGCGCATCGCCTCTTCCCTCTTCAGGAGGATAATTGTCCATAAACTGGAGTAAACTGCAGCTGCAGCGTAAAAGACCTGGACAAGGCTATACCTTTAAAGGTGGCTCGGAAAACAAACGAGTCCCTTTCAAGCAAAATACACAGGGAGGAAATAAAAAAGCTTTCAGAAGACATTCGAGTGAGCGATTCTGCTTATGTTACCGATGACGTTGACAATTTAAGGTCCCTCAGGGATCTCCAAACCGCTCATTTAGGACTGCGCAAATTTTCTCCGTCGCTTGTAAACTGACTGCAAGTGCCGACCACCCGCCCCCGCCCCCCACCACCACCACCACCACCGCCGCCCTCTTCCTGCACGGAAACCGGTCACGTTACTATACTCGGCGTTCGACGGCCTTGCCCTTGAGGGTCTCTTCGAAGCTCGGCGACTTAAACGCGGGTTATGTCGGCAAAGCGCATCGGTGCACAGCGGGGGGGGGGGGGGAGGGAGGGAGGGAGGGAGTGAGGGAAGGGGATAAATGGCGTGCCGTTAATTAATTAATAGGAAGAACGCTTGGCACGCTCTGCATCTCTGCAACAGAAATGGTAACTCTCTGCTATCTATGCCCTCCTCCCTCCTGTTCGACCCCCCCACCACCCCTCCCCTACCTCTCTCTTGTCAATTACACGTTCGCTTTCCAACCAAGCAATAAAAAAAAACTCGGAGGAAGGTGTTTTCCCCCAGAGGTCGCCCCCCCCGCCACCATTATCCCTCCTCCTTCAAAAGAAAAAAAAACGAAATTTACTCTCGGATCAGAAAGTGTTTCGCCCACAAAACGTACAGTCAAGTCACTATATTCTGTGAAACGCTTTGAGACGTCTAAAAAAAGGCACGACATCAAATGCAAGGATTATTATTGTTATTATTGAAGTGTCTGATTTGTTTCAGAGATAAAGATATTAAGATGCACCGGAGTTTAATAACAATGACTGAATTCTGCCTTTGACTTCTTGCTGGGAAATAAATAGTCACTTTGTGTTGTGGGCGAAACAGGCATTAATTACCACCTTTGTGAGTTGAAAATTCCACAACACACAGTCAATTCACTTTACAGAATATCCCGTGAAGCGCTTTGGGACGTCTCGAAGACATAACAAGGCTCCGTATCCAATGCAAGGATTATTATTACTATTATTACTCCACCAACAAAGCATTTCAGGCTGGAAGGAAGTTCGCCGAATCTCTCTAAAACCAAACCAGTCTTACATTTTGAGGTCTGTTTGTGTTGTTTCTACTGTAACAGTGTCTTTAGAGAGACGACAGAAGATTGGCTTCAAGGTTATAAACCCCGAAATCGAACAATTTGCCAAATTCTGCACACTCGGAGACGCTAGGTCGAAATCTAGTCAGACCCGGGTGAAACCTCCCCCGTGACATTTTCTTCAACACAAAAAAAAAGATTTATTTTTAAAAAGATCCAGAGATAGAAAGCCAACGAGGTAAAAAGTTAATTTTTAAACACACCCATGGTATAATCTGTATCTTATTTATTATTATTATTATTATTATTATTATTAACAAGAAGGATCCAAATTTGTTTTAAAAAAAAGCTACTTTTAATAGTTTTTTTTTGAACAAATTACAAAAGGGAGATGTTTTTCTACGAATCAAAAAAAATAAGCAATTGATCAAAAACAGTGCGCAATATCCGTAGGCAAATGATTTCTCTTGTGGAAAATCCCATATAATCTTTTTTTGGGGGATGGTGGGTGGGTGGGGGTTGGGAACTATAGATGGTTTCTTTCCCTGCAAATGTAAATTGGGTTTCATTTCAGGGACCAGGAAATTAGTCAGACAGTTTAACATATCATACATATACAGTACATTATATACAAACAATTCCTTTACAAGGATTCATCCTAAAGTTGTCTTTGCAACTTTTGCAAAAAAAAACTGGACTTAAAGGGATGATGTTACTTTTTTTTAAAAACAAAAACTTTTTTTTGGTGTAAATTGTAAATGTTAATGTAAAAAAAAAGTTTGCGTGGGTGTTTTCTTAACGTTTGTAGCTCCAGGCAGTAGATGGTTGAAGCCAGTTCCCCACTCTCTGTCTGTCTGTCTGTCTGTGTCTGTCTGTCTGTGTCTCTCTCTCTGTCTGTCTGTCTGTCTGTCTGTGTGTGTCTCTCTGTCTCTGTGTGTATCTCTCTCTCTGTCTGTCTGTGTGTGTCTCTCTCTCTGTCTGTCTGTCTCTGTGTGTGTCTCTCTCTGTCTGTCTCTCTGTGTGTGTCTCTCTCGCTCTGTCTGTCTCGGTGTGTGTGTATCTCTCTCTGTCTGTCTGTCTGTCTCTGTGTGTGTGTGCTTCTCCCTGTCTGTCTGTGTGTGTGTGCTTCTCTCTGTCTGTCTGTCTCTGTGTGTGTGTCTCTCTGTCTGTGTGTGTCTCTCTCTCTCTGTCTGTCTGTCTGTCTCTGTGTGTGTCTCTCTGTCTGTCTCTGTGTGTGTGTCTCTCTGTCTGTCTGTCTTTGTGTGTGTCTCTCTGTCTGTCTCTTGACATCCATGCAATCAATGCTTTGCTCACGTGCTCCGGTCTACCACGAATAAAACAAAGGTTGGAGTGGGGGTGGAGGAGAGAAAAAAAAACACATAAAAAGACAGTAACAAATTAACCCCCTCCCCCAGAATTAAACTTCAGAAAGAGCAATGATCTCACCTGATTTATAAGACCAAGGCAGCCCAGGGAGGGGACTGGAAGGTGGGGTGGAAGAGAGTCGTGTGTGGGTGTGTGTGTGTGTATGTTGGGGTGGGTGTGGATGGATGGATGAGGGGGGGGGAGTACGGGTGGGAAGGAGGGAGATTCTCGCATAAATCCAACACACTCAGAAGCTACATTTAGACAGTTCCCCCCCCCCCCTTCCCTCCCTCCCTCCCCTTCTTTTGCTGCGAGCAATCGCCTGTTCAGTGATGGTTTCGAAAAGAGACTTGTTTTTCTGGCTTTCAGTCAGTTGTTTGCTCAAGGGATTGAGCGATTGGCTTACTTCCCCTTTCACGGGCTCAGGTTTCTCATTTAAGGGGGGGGTGTGGGGACACAGAGAGACAGAGAGAGAGAGAGAGACTGTGTGTGTGTGTGTGTGTGAGAGAGACTGAGAGAGAGGAAAGGAGTTGTAGCCACTCTTCAATGAAATGGCACTCGCTGGTGATTTCAGCCAATGGGAAGGCGAGGAGTCACAGAGGGGGGCGGGGCCGGGGCGCCGCGGGCAACCAATCGCCTTTCCGGCTCCGCCGCTCCATTCATGCCTTTCTCATTCACAAAAAAAATTCCCGCCCTCCCCCGGCAGCAGGTCATTCATAAAACCCGGCAGCAGGACACACACACACACCCCACTGCTCTCTCTCAGGGAGTAAATAAAACGCACTGTAGACATAATTAAACATTAAAAGCCCCCACCACCACCCCCCCCCCGATTCTTTATATGGCTTTTAATTGCCTTTAATTCCACTCTCCCACCCCCCCCCCCCACCCCCACACACATACACCCCCCCCCCCAGTGTTACAGCACTCTTATTAATAGTTTCCTAATGGCTTGCTAATCACTAATGGGTATTGCAAGCTATTTTTGCACCACTTCTCTCTCTCTCTTTCTTCTCTCACTCTCACCCATTCCCTCCCTCCCCCCCCCCCCCCCCCCCTCCTCCAGGCACATGCACACACACACACACACATACATACAGACAGGTACACACACACACACACACCACACACACACTGGGAGCACTGTTTACAGGCAAAATCTGGACTCAATTTGGATTGATTTTTGGCTCGTGTTACATGGGAGATATAGCCAAGAGGGTTGCATCATGCAAAAACACATCTTTCCGCAGCGCTCAGGGCTGTTTGGCCGTTAACTCTTTGATGCAGTTTGTTGTTGTTGTTGTTGTTGTTGTGAACTGGCCAACAATTCCTTCCCACACACCAGACCCCCCCACACCCACACCCCACCACCCGCCTTCGCCACCGGTAAAAATTGTTCATTGTCAGATCGTCTGCACGTTAACATAACGGAAACCCAACTAATGGGAAAATCTGGGGGAATAATACGTAAAAGAAGAATTAATAGTTTTCAGATGAGCAAAGCGACATAAAATTAACCGAACATACATAATATATGTATCTTATATTATTAACAATTTTAATAGAAGAAATAAAAGATGAAAACTGTATATATATATATAAATGCAAGTTGTAGTTGTTGTAAGTTCAGTATTTTTTGCACAAAACACATGATTCACTGCATTCAATTCATGTTCATTTCAGATTGCACTAGTTAAATATTAATGTTTTAATGTGTTTTTTTTCATACTACTGAGTTTTCTAGGTATATACCCCCCTCCCTCCCTCCCTCCCTCCCTCCCTCCCTCCCTCCCTTCCTTCCATCCTTGCCAGGCTCCGCTGGCTCCCAATATCCCAGCGGATTGACTTAAAGATCCTTGTTCTTTCCTTCACATCTCCTATAGCACCATCTCGCCCACTCACCCATCTCTGCATATCTCATCCAATCTTATTTTACTACAAGTGCCCTCTGCTGTTCTGACTAGTCGATTGCTGGTTCCCCTCCCCGTCAACCACTGCCCTTCCCCCCGCCCCCACCCACAACCCTCTCCCCCCCCCCACCACCACCCACCCCGTCCAAGCCAACACTTCCATAACTTTCAGGCACCTTACCTCTGGGACTATATCTCCCCAAATCCCTTTGTCTATTGCCTTCTCTCACTGCCTTCATAGCTGGTTCATAGCTCAATCCACGACTGTTTGTGAGACGCTGCTGTGCGCAATGGGCTGCCTTTTCCTCCCACAAATATACACAGTCACTCCACTTTACAGTATATTCTGTCAAGCGCTTTGAGACGTCTCACCGACGTGGTAAGGAGCTGTATCGAATGCAGGTATTATCATTATTATTATCGTAGCCCTTCACATAATCCTCATCATAAACCCTTACTCCTCTCCTTCCTGCCGTCTTTGTGAGGCATTGAGACGTTCGCACTACAAACGTGTAGCAACTGTGCTTTCTACAGGCGTTCACTCCAAGACAACGTGCTCCGTGAGATATGAACGAAAATCTTTATTCATCTACAGTCACTTCACCTTACCCTAAAAGTCCTGTGAAGCGCTTTGAGACCGCCGTCAAATGACAAGGGGTCGTTATCATTAGGGCTATTAATTATGATTCATTCCCTGCGAAGCGCTCGGAGATGCCGCCATCAAAGGCGACGATTGTCATCATCATATAAAGTTGATGCGACCAAAGCCACATGAAAAAGGGACAATATGGCGAATTTCAAAAGGCACAAAAGGAGTGGTAAGACACGGGATGGGAGGGGTGGGTGGGGGGTGGGGGGGTGTGGGGGTGCGGAGGATTAATCCAATGGAGAGCTTGTGTTCACATCTCCCACGGCCAGTTCTGGAGTGCAGGCCACAGAGAGGCAAGATTGATTGATCGGTCGAAAGGAGTGCTTTTTTTTCTGGTTGTTGTCGGTGGAAACGTTTTTCAAAGCGGAATGAAACAGGAAGCAATCATTTTGGGAGGGAGATTTCCGAGTCCGCTTATTAAAGTGATAAGCTCATCGCTTTTAATTGGCAATTTTCTCTTTCTCTCTCTCTCTCTCCCCCTCTCTCTCTCCTGAAAGAGCCCTTGTCTAAAGTTAATGAAGCACTGTACACGGCAACGTGCTAGAAACGTAAAGGGCTCAGGTGTAGGTTAGCGTAGCCTGACTCATGGGCAGGTTCTGCTGGTTCGATCTGACGCATTCGTTCGCGCGCTCTCACCAGCCTTCCTTTTTTCCTTCTGCAGTTTTAACTCGTCGGGGCGTCTATTATGCGCCGTGTGTAAAAACCGTGTGCAAGATTAAATAATCAAGGGGGGGGGGGGGCATGTCGTTCTCCCTACGTGCACATGCGTTCGCACACGGTGCATCATGCACTCACGTTGGCACATGGTTTACACATGATAACACACACTTGCGTGTTTAGACATTGCTTCCTTCACAGGGTGGGGGGAGGGAGGGAGGGGCAGCGTCTCGGAGCGCGTAACCGATCGGAGAAGGTTGCGGGGGGGGGGGGGGGGGTGGGAGGCTGCTGCATTGAGGGATATGGCTCTACGTTATGTTTTAAAGAAACCGTTCGATTCATTCCGCTGCGTTTAGCTCAATCTTAACTCCACCTTAACTCCTCGATCACTTAGCGATTGCCCAGCCCCGATGGCCAGCGGTTTCTTGCGAACACAGACCGTTTGTTCCGTGTTGTCTGTGTGTGTGCGTGTGTGTGCGTGTGTGTCACAGTGTCGAGCTTTGCAGAAGGGACCGAGACCGCTACATGTTGACAGCATCTCTGAGAGCCAGATGTTGGCTCTTTCAGCACGACTGGAAAATATGAGTCAGGCTCGTGGCTTTCAAACCTCGGTCACGGGCTGTTTATACAGGCCCTGTTATCCCTGCCTTAATCCAATTAAACACGGGCGCAAATTAAAAAGCACAGGGTGAGAAAGAGCACGAGATTAACCCGAGCACAGCGCACATTAAAGGCTGGATATCCGTTTGCACGTGAACTCTGGAAGTGGCTCCTTACCTGAGATCAACTTGGAGACTTTGCAGTGACAAAGGCCCTTTTAGACCATTTGTTTGCAACGCCAGGACTTGCGCTCGATACAGAGTGTGTGTGGTGTGTGCCGTTTGTACGGTCTTCAACTTAAAGCGCTTCACACGCAAATCTCTCTTAAGCGACTGGGTATTTTGTAGGCAAACACGGCGGTCAGACTCGCGCACAGCAATGTCCCTAAAAACAGCTGTGTGGTGAGTGTTCAATTTTTATTTTAATCTCGTGGCGGGACTGTGGGCCAGGACACACAGAGAGAGAGAGAGAGAGAGAGAAGCTCCCTTCTCTTTCCAAATAGTGTCACGGGATCTTTAACGTCCAATCTGAACTGGCAGACGGGACCTTGGTTTAATGTCTCATTGCCCCGCATTGCATTGGAGAGTCATCTTAGACTTGTGTGACTCCAAGTCCTGATGTGGGGACTCAAACCCACAACCTTCTGCCTCAGAGGCGAGAGCTACTATACCGCTGCGAGAGGCTGACACACAATCTGTGTGCGTGTGTGCGTGTGTGTTTAGTCAGGTGAGATTGACAGCGGCGAGAGTTACGAAGCTGAAGCTATCGGGGGACAAAAGGGGTCCTCAATCGGAGAGGGAAGGGGGAACGACGAGCAGAGAACAGCCCAGTCCATTCCACGTAAAGTATTTCTCCTTTAATTCCAGGGCAGCAGATCACCCGAAAGTCAAAGACCGAATAAAATACGACAAAATAGGCAGCTCGCTCCTATTTTTTTTACACACACACACACACACAGCCACAACACGACCTGCCCATCATGCTTGAAGTCACTGCCAATAAAGGTCATTCGATCAATGGGAACCTCAGTTTAAGTGGGCGGGTGCGCTGATCTGGAAAATAGCTGCTCTGAAGGAAAGGAAATGATTGAACATAAAGTACAAACTAGCAGCACTGCGGGAGGGAGGGAGGGAGGGAGGGAGAGAAAGTGTGTGTGTGTGTGTGTGTGTGGGGTGTGGAGAGAGACAAAATCTCTCAAAACACCCACTGTCAGAAAAGTAAGAATTTGGTTTCCAGCAGAAATTTACAGCGATGAAAGAAAACTCTTCGGCCCATCTTGTCGTCCGTGTTGGCTTTATGGAGGGGCGATGCATTCAGCCCTATTTTCCCCCCATATCCCGTGTGCCTAACTCCTCTTTAGACTGTCT